TTAAAAAAAAAAAAAGCAATATTTTTTAAAGTAACAAAATATTTAAATCATATTTCCATCCCTAAATTTAGGATAGCACTAAACCTCAGTATGTTACAATACACTTAACAGCTATCCTTGAAGAATTAGGAAAATCCCTTTAAGATTCTGTTCTTGTAGGAAAGTAACATTGAAAATACAATCCATGTGTTGTTGCATTGCCCATTTTATAGATACAAGGTTGCATTTTGTCTTTTTTTATTAAACTTCTGAGCCATTTAGATCTATTTTACATATAGCTGATAGTTGCTATTTGTCAACCAATATGATTTAGTTTCTTTGAATGTTGCCAAATTTTGCCTTTTGTGTGCAAAACTTTTTATTTATAAATATGTAATTCTTTTGCATATTTCATTTTTATTTTAAGATAATTTTTTGTAACTGACCATAATAAAGGATGAACAGACTGAAAATAACTTTTCCTGAACATTTTTGTGGTCTGACAGCATGTAATACTCTAAGAGGTGTGTTTGTGTAATTGTATTATAGGATGTTTTTATGTACTGTTATTTTGTTATAGTTATGATATATTTATCTTTGTTTGATGCCAAGAGTCTTCTGTGACTCTTGGCATCAAACAACTCAAGAATATATATCTTGAGATATATATTTGATTAATAAGTAAATCAATGGCCCACTGGAATCAATCCAGTTAAGCAGTAGATATGCTTTCTGACATGCATCAGACTTATTTTAATTATTCCTAATCCAGTTAAGTACCTGACAAATTTTAGCTGATCCAGATAAAATCCTTCACTGATCCTAGTCAGCTTTAGTTGAAAATATTAACTTTTTCATTCGTATATGCTTATTTATATTTTTCAAAATGTATTTATTAAAATTACATATATATCTCTATTGTGTGCATGACTTATATCCAAGACCAACTTTTAGCAAAGCTCTTATATTGCTATATGTGTAAAATAAATGAGATCACTCTTCCCTAGGCATCTTTATATTGCTCATCTTCTGAGAAAATATCTGTGAAAGATTGGACCTTAGAAACAGAAAGCAGCTGACTACACAGGCAAATAGACTGCATATTTTAACATTGTTTTCAAAACAAGCAACTGTTACAAAAAGAACAGCAGGAGCTGCTTAACAGTAAACCATTGCTCCCTTGAGTTTCCCAACACATCTGAATGTTGGCATATAATCTAACAGTTGATCAGTACTGAAAAATACACAAGCATTTGGTTCTAGCATACTCAGTAAAGCTGATTTACATATACAAATACCTTTAAGACATATACTTTAATATTTTAATGAAGCACAAAAAGTCACATTTAAATTAAATCATGCTTTAGTCTCACTGAAATAAGTGGGCAAGTTAATCAAAGCTCTATCCTAGGCATTTCATAGAAACATAGAAAACTGAGGGCAGAAAAAGACCTAGTAGTTCATCAAGTCTGCTCTTCTGAGTTTTTAATTTTTTAAATTTTTGTCAGGTGATGGACATGTTTATCCCAAGCATGTGTTTAAACCAGGGATCGACAACCTTAAACCCTCAAAGAGCCACAAAAGTCCTAACCGGAAGTCCCCATTCAATTCTGGAGCCGACCGGAAGTCCGGTTCCCCCACCATAGTCTCCTCCTAGTGTGGTGTCCGTTTTCCTCTACCTGTCCTAACCAAAAGCTCTATCAATTGTGGAACCAACCAGAAAAGCCTCCCCTTGCCATGGAGTCTCCTCCTGGCATGCCATGCTTCCCCCCTCCCTAACTGGAAGCTCCTCTCAAAATTGTGGTACCAACCAGTGACAGAGCCACAGCAGAGATGAGCCACATGCAGCTCCAGAGCCGCAGGTTGCTGACCCCTGGTTTAAACTCAGTTACTGATGACTGATCCACTACCTCTGCTGCAAATTGGTTCCAAGCTTCTGTGAAGTAATACTTTCTAACATTGCTTATGAACTACCCTTGTGTCAGCTTGAGGTTTCACCCCCCATGTTCTTAATTTTGGTATAATATTGAAAATATTGCCTTCTAGAATTTCAGTAGTGCCCAAGTATGTCTAGGCTTTCGATATTGCCCTAACCTGATGGCTTGACCAGAAGTGATTTGAATCAGCCAGAAGTATCCCATAGTTGCCAGGTAAATGTCAGACATTAATGTTTTCCGGATACCCACAGCAGACTCATAAAGAATAGATCTGTTATATTTTCATTGGCAGGGAAACCCCAACATGTATTTCAAGAGAACTGGAGGTACTTGGCATTCACTAAAATAAGTATTTTCACCTCGGAGCAATCTTAGGAGACCAACTGGAGTAAAATATTAAGCTTACATGTTATAACATTTTAGGTTCAGATTTACACCTGGTCCAGGGTTATAAATAATTATGATGGAAACTCTAGAAGTCAACTGTCAGTAAAAAAAAAGAAGAAGTTTAAGCCAAAATGTCAGATAGCAAACCTCAACAGAGTAAGCTAGATTCCAATTTCAGCAGGGCATTTGATATACGGCTCCTTCTTATATGTAAAATAATGGAGGGCTTGATATAACAAATTAGAATACTGATTTTTTTATCTTGTAATGCATGGTGAATTCATTCATATTTTCTTCTGTATGTTTATATATTTGATATATTGGAACTGAAAGTGCTTCATGTAAACAAAAACAGACACAATAATACATGCACATTTTCTGGAACATTTTGTTAAAAAGATGCACTTTGGTTTGTCAAATAATTTGTTTATTTCAGTGTGAGAATTAAATTACAAAAGAAAAGCTCTTGTCTTATACATCAACTCACAAATAATCAAGGAAGTGGAGAAAATTAGTACAATTCTCATTAGCAAAACTGCAGAAAGCAGAAAAGCTTTAAAAGAATGTCAACTTTTTAAAAAAATGTTGCCTTAATTTCTTGACTTGGTTTTATCCGTACTGCACGGCACATCACTTTTACAAGTTAGTGATTAATTTCAGTAGAAGCAAAATAGCAGTAATCAGCAAGTACAAATATGACAACATTAGTGACCTCCAGATGCTAAATTAAAGTTTAATAGTCAGCAAAGACAGGGGTACATGATGGGCTTTTCCCGTTATGTTTTCCTATTGTCTTTATACAACAAGTGATTTAAAGATAAATTGAGATGAACCATACTGTGTACTGATCCTGTTTATTGATCCACATAAGATGCCTCACAAAAAGTACATTGAAACATATACATTAATCCATCACAAAGATTATATATATGATAAGCAGGCCTTGTGTTCACATAAGATATTCTACCAATATGGTATGCCAATAAATATGCCCTGTTAAAAGGCAAAAAGTACAAGAAATAAATATGTATAATCTTTTTGACGGAGAATCAGTAATGGGGAGTTATATCTATTCTTTTGTCATACTTTGGGGGAGACACCTTGAATTTAAATTAATTATTTTTGTGGTCTTAGTAATGTTAGGATTAGTATTATTGGGCTAATTGCCTACCTATGTGTGTGCATTTCTTTTTTCTTTTTTAAAACAAATGGAATAGAGGCTGGAAAATTAAAAACCAAGCCTGCATAAGATAAAATTATGCAATACTAAACCAACTTACTGTTACAAGGCCTAGATTGCTGTCTCCTCTTCCAGCATGGCCATGACTTTAGAAGCTCTTGTTTCTGTTTTAGGCCAAGCCACAGTAGATAACCTGATACTCTTTAGGTACTTTGGACTTCAGTCCTGGTTACTATGGTCAATGGCAAATGACTGCAGGAGCCTAAGAAAAATCCCTAGAATGCCTACCATGGGCTAGTTTATCATGATGTTGAGGCCTAGACAAATTGCAATTAATCTCAACTATCCTTAATATAAAAATACTTTAAATTATTAGTTTACAACATTGCCTTTTTTTTTTTTTTTTGCTAACAGTAACAGCAATAACAATTTAAGATTTTATGCAGTGTTTTAAAGTTGGGCACTGTAAAACCTTAAATTGTTTCTCTAACTTTTCTTTTTTTCCCACATTTTTATCATAAGTGTAAGAAGAGAAAATATAAGGAAGTAAGTAGAAGGAATACTTGTGACCATTTCTCACGTTATCAAGTTTACTGTTTTGTCTGAATTTGGCCATCAATCAGTTGAAAATGCATACTAACTGTTGCTGTCACTCTAGCTTAATGTAGAGGTTATTATCTGGTCTGAAAAAGTAAAACTGGTACTAGAAGAGTAGTTGTATCATCCATACATTTTAAAGCATTGATTTGATTTACAGATTAAACTGGATTATCTGAGAGCATCTGTAAACAAATATTGAACTTGTCAAATAATCATGAATAGGATTGTAATGATGAAAACCTGCCTGAGATACACATTTAACTTGTTACTATTGTTTTAATTAACAATGTGCACACACATGTTGCTATTTCTGTATAGAGGCACTTAGTAGAGTACTTCTGTTGTAAACAGTCCACGGAAGGTCTCTAAAGTAAAATATATGTAAATACCAAGTTGGTGTCCAGAGCAATTTAATATACAAATCTTATTTTCTATAAGACACTAAAATTTAGTACATTAGTTTCTAGTGCATTAACCAAATGAAAAAAATTATTTTAAACAACTTTCATTCTCAATACTTATTATGTTGTATTTGTATATTGAAAGCACTCTAGGCTGTGCAATAGGAAATTTATGCCTTTGGGCATGTATGGAAGTACTTCTTTTAGCCTCTTTTCTGTACTGGAGGAACCAACAAACATTTCAGCTGAAAACACTAATGCTATATCCTAAAGCTGCAGCTGATACATATAAACAGCTATTAGAAATTGGAAGAAAACCAGTGTGCGACTGTATTAGGCAGTGGATATAACGCAGACCCATTCAAATTTGTAAGAATGTTTCCACTGACTTCAGTAGAATAATTATTGTTCCCAACACGCTTTTTGAGGAAATGCATAATACGAAAAGGATTTCTTAAACATATTAAAATTAAACATTGATTGTTATGTACTGCAAAAGTAACACACAACAAAATGTACATACAGCAATAATTTATTCTGTCATTTAGTTTTGTTGAGACTTCTTCACCTGTGCCTCATTAATAAAAGAGCAGCCATCTTACCTCAAATACCAGAATATACAACAAGTTACAGCATAGCAAAAATCCTACCTACTGTCAGTTAAAATCTAGTTCTGGTAAAATAATTTTGTTCAAGGTTTACACATACACAGATGTCCTTTTTTTCTTTTTTTCTTTTTTGCAGAGCACAAAAACCAAAATGTATTCATCTCACTATAACTATCTATGCACATTATGGTGACCACAGAAATGTTAATTATCATTTCAGAAAATGAACCATCAGTTCTATCCATGCAGGAATAAAAAGGCTTGTTCAGCAGAAACCATATTACTGTGAATTTCACAGCCACATGATTAATTAAAAGGTTAGTGGCTTCACAAATACTAAGGTGGAGGTTTTTTTGGCATAAATACCAATTTTTCCCTGAAGTTATTTAGCCATTTTGCAACTCTAGAAGTGAGTGATATATTAATAGAATTATTTATTTTAATCTGTTTTTCATCTTTCTAAATTCCCCCAACCCATCAAAACAATTATAAAGGTATGGGATGTTAATTAAATATATGTAAAATATACTGTACAAATATAATTATTTTAGCAATTTTATTGCTAAATTATCAATTGGGAATCCCTCAAATATTAGTGAAGACAAAGAATATTATATATGGCTTCCAGAACAAGAACCCTCTACAAGAATCAAACCTATTTACAAAAAAAAGAGGGGCTAACCACAATTTTGCTGCTTTATTTTTTAAAAATTCACATAAATCAATACATTGTTAATTTCCCATTAAACAGAAGTCACCAGATAAGACCCTGAATGGCGCTTAGGGCTTTGTGCACCACTCGAATCTGTACTTTCAGTTTTTGAGTCTCGTTTTTTTGTACTGTTATTTACTGGTGTTGGTATCTGCGATGGTCGAACAGAACTGTTATCTACACTACTTTTTCTGGGGCTTGGATTATAGTTAAAAGGCGTCACACGTGCTGCAACAGCACCACTTGGTGAGCTGTGTTTACTTGAGCTGCTAGAACTAAATGGTGTGCGCTCAGTCAGAGTGTTTTCACTAGTCTCTGGGGCAGCTGTAGAGCTGCTTAGAACAATTTTAGTTTCAGTTCCTTTCTTGTCTGGACCATCAGATTGGATAAATGAATTCAATCGGGTTTCTAAACCCATGGTGCGAATAGGGACATTTCCATTTCCGGTATTTTGTTTTCCATTAAGATCTTTTGAATCTTTGCTATTTATACTACTTTTCTCTGAACCACTGTCAATAATGGGGGGAGTATTTCCTGTTGGAGATTTTCCAGACCTTGGATTATTAATAGGACAGTCCTCAATCCTCACCCATACATCCTCTGTTTTAGAGACCGCAGGGGCCATCTGATAAACTAGAGTTTTTGAATCAGCACCATTGGTGGGACTAGGTGAGATATTCTGAGGAGGACTTGTCATTATTTGAGGAATTTCATTTTCCTTTATTTTTCTCCAAGTCCCTTTGGTTGGTGCTTGATTTTCTTTACCTTGTTTGAGTCCAGAAAAAGAAGTTACATGCTGCTTTTCATCTTCACTTTTTGCCTTTTCACTAGATTCTGAAGAAGCTGAAAGAATTGAGGAAGAACTTCCTGTCCTTCGCCAAGTACTTACACGAGGAAGTGATGAAGAATGTTTACTGTGTTCACGCTTCCATGTTCCTGATCTGTTAATTGGCAATCTGGATGGACTCTCAGAATGAGATCGAGTTATGTCATGCCGTTTTGTTGGCCTCCCATCATTGTATTCTAAAGATGGACTCAGGTTGGGAGGTAATTTTCTCCAACCACTGGCTTGGATGGCTGAGTGAGCAGATAAAGACATGTCAGGAAGCGATGGACTTAAAACTGGAGTCTGTGTTTGGGACTGGGTTGGAGAGTCTGGTCTAGAAGGTGACAAAGATTCAAAGGAGACAGACTCTTCTAATTTCCTTCTTAAAGTAGGACTTGGGGTTTCTTTAATAAAAGTTGACTGACGTACTAAAACAGGTCTCTCTGATCGGTCAGATTCACTCCCACTTGATTTGGCTGATGACATTCTAGATAACTCAGTCTTTTTATTTGATCCACTGATATTAGAATTTTGATTTAATCCTTTTGAGGCAGATTCACTTCTAGGAATTCCACTAGTACTTTTAGGCAATCCTGTTTGTTTTGCTACGGTTTGCTGGTTCATTTGTCTGCCTGGTGATGTATATGCCATTCTTCCTGAACCTGATGACTTATTGGAAGCTGTACTTGGTGATGCTGTTCTTGGCAGCTGGGAAAGCTTATTGGGAGGACTTATGCCATTTCTACCTGGTGAAATTGAGTTCCTGCCAGGAGACTGCAGAGGCCTACTTAATGGTTGTTGTTGTGGTCTAGAAGGTGTAGAATCTCTAGATCCTGATCTAGAAGGTCCTTTACTTGAAATGCCCTGTTGAGATGGCTGTCTAGATATAGGGCTTGGGTCAGATTTCATAGGTGGTTTGACAACTCTTGGAGAGCTAGTAGAACTTTGGCTTTCATTAGGACTTTTGGATGCTGTATTCTTTAGTTGTGGTCCTTTTTTAGAAACTGGACTTGTACTTGAAGAACTATTTCGAACTCCAGGAATATGAATCATTGTTCTTCCTCGGGAAATAGAGGGCATATTTGTTTGCAAAGGCTGTTTCAAATGACTTGTAAGTTCAGAATTAGAACGAGCTTTACCTGTAATCATGCTTTTATAAACTTTCTTTCCTCCTTTAATTCCTTTATTTTCACAGTCATTTTTCTTATTTTCCAGTGTACTCTTCTCTCCTGGTTTAATAATTCTTGGACCCTTATTAGAAGTAAAAGGTTTTTCTTCTTGATCTGGTGTAAGATGAAATGGTGATCCTAAGGAAATTCCTGATTTTAATGAAAGGATTGAATCTGAATCTGATGAAGCTTGTCTAGATAGAGATGCTGCTGCAGCAGCTTGATGTAAACAGCTAACTATAGAATTTGCACCTTCTTGGATAGCTTTCCAGTCAAAGTTCTCTGAATCGGGTGAGAAACCATTCTCTGAATCAGGCCTTTGTATATCTTTCAAATCTAATGTGAGATCTTCTGCTAAAATGCCTCCCATGTTTCTAGCACTAAGTTTTTCACTATCCCCCTTTGACCTTGATGGCTTTTTCTTTTTAGGCATGGCTGAACTAATACATTCCTGCAAAAGATCATCTTCTGAATCAATACTAAGAGAACTAAGGGAACTGTTCCTTGAAAAGCATACAGGTGTATCTTCCACATGAAACGATTTAGGAGCATATCCAGAAACTGGTGCTCTAGTTGATTCAATGTGTTTCTCAGGTGGTTCTATTTGTTCTACAGGTTCATTTTCTTTGCTATTGTTGTTTTCCTGATCAATATCACTGAGAGAACTGAGAGAGGAATTACGAGAGAAACAAACAGGTGTATTTTCTATTGCAAAATTTTGTGTTTTTTCCTCCGTAGACGTAATGTCTTTGGCTGATGGACAAAAAGGTGTCTGGTTTTGCCCCAAAGGTTTGGGTTGATTTCTTCCAGTTGAAGAATGCTTTTGGCCAGCTTGTGGTCCAGTGACTGATTGCTGATTTGAAATATATTCTGTATTGGAGTTGGCTTCAATTTCATTGTTTTTCCCCTTTCTCAGCTCTGCCTTTTCTTTTGAAAGATCTACATCATCATCAAATTCCAAGGAACTCAAAGAGTCATTTCGAGAAAAACAATATGGGGTTCCTTCAATTGGAGTGTAGTGGTGGGGAGAATCAAATGCAAAGCTTCCTCTTGTACGCTCTTCATTATTTGGAAGTTTATCATTTGAATTATTTTCAAGAGTCTGCTTCTTTGTCTCTTTATTATCATTTCTTTCATTACTAAAATTATTTTTTGATTCTACATTTTTTCTTAAGCGTGCTCTGTACTCATTGCTTTGTGGCATAGGCTTTACTGGTGATGTTGGTTTCTTTTTCTCTATTTCTAGTTGATTTTTAGTATTTATTGAGGATGATGTAGATACTAGCTGGATCTGATCCATTATCTTTTTCACTCTGAAAGGTTTGTGACTTTTCCCTTTTGGCATAGCAGAATTAATACATTCTGCAAGAATATCATCACCTTCTTCTGTTTTGTCATCATTCAACCCAACAGTAGAGCTGCTTTTTCCCCTTTGAGCATCTTCCGTATTTCTTCCTTCTGTGGGAATTGTATCCCTCTTTTCAATTTCAGCTGATTCTATTCCTGAAACAGCAATCCCTGGACTGGCCAGTTCATTTGGAGGTGATTCTATTGTTAGATCACTCAGAGATGTAGCTGTTGAAAAATTTATTGGTGTTCCCTCAACACAATAAACACGTGGCATGTCATCACCAGGGGTAAATGTAACATGCTTTTGGGAATGTAATCTGCTCTGAGAAGGAAGAAGTTTATATACAGGCAAATGGCTTGGTTTTCTGGCTACAGGTGGAGGTATTTTAGAAGCAGTTACCTGCGAAGGCTTTTTGGCTTTACGTGAAGACTTAGTTGGCATAGCAGAAATAATACACTCCTCCAATATTTCAATATCATCTTCATCTGAATCATCTAGAATATCTTTCTCTATTTCAGTGGATTCTTTTGTATCTTTTTCTATGTTATCCTTTGTATCATTTGATTGTTCAAGTTCTGCTTCGTTTACATTATCATTTTCATGCACAGGAGGCATTATTCTCAATTCTACATCTTTCTGTATAAATGGTTCATCAAGACTCAAAGCACTCAGACTTGATGAACAAGAAAATCCATCTGGTGTACTTTCTGTTGCAAAGTGTAACAAAGTGTCAGCATCTTGCATTACCTGCACCCTTTGAACAGCTGTATTTACAGTTGTTTGTCTTGGTCCAGATTCTCTCTTTTCAGTGTTGGATACTTTTGCTTTGGCTGCTTCTCTCTTTACTTGGGGCACTTGGGTAGGTGGTGGTGTTTTACTTCTGCTGGGTGGCATTGTCTGCCCAGGACTATCTGGAAGATCACTTGGGCTTATTATACCACTTATCATCCCACTACATGGCTCACTTTGAACAGAGCTAGCAATTGAACGGCTCTCAAAACTATCCAAGGAACTCACAGAGGTACATCTGCTAAACATGAGTGGAGTCTCCTGTACATAATGTTCTGGTGGGCTCTTGGGAGTCTGGGCACCACTTTTTGAAGGAGACTTGGCACCCGAAGAAAACTCAACAGCTTTATGTCTTGCTGAATCAGACGAAGATACAGTGGAAGTCTGAAGTCTATTTGATTTTGTTCTAAGATGCTGGGAAGCTAATGAGGTTTCATTAGTTGTTACTGCTGTTGACAGATTCCCACTGTTTTCTTTCATTCCAACTATCTTCAGAAAGTTATCAGCATCAGCTACCCGTGTGGAATGATCACGTCCTGTTTCATCTTCAGCTGATGATAAAGATGATAGAGAGCTACATCTTGAAAAACATATTGGTGTATCTTCTACACAGTAAGTTTGTATTGTTTCCTGGTTAATGGAAGATGCTTTGCAGGATGTAGGCTTCTGAGTATGATTAGCCCTATTCTGAGCAGAATTTGGATGAAGTTGGTTATGTTTTTTTGACGCAGCAGAAGATGACGTATTTCCACTGCTTGATGAAATATGATCTGTTTTAGTACTCTGTACCGATGGAGTTTTTGAAAATGAAAAAGATGGTTTCTGTGCAGGAGGAACCTCTGTTGAATATCGAAGACTGTAATCAATTGGCTGATCCACATGGTGCACCTCTTCATTGTATTTTATGCTGTAATTAGTTGGATGATCTTCTTCTTCATGCTGTTCCTCTTCAGAATAATGCTCACTATAATTTGTAGGTTTATCAGTCTCATAATCATCCACCTGACACAAGGACTGATTGACTTTGGGATTTATTCCATGATTACATCCTACTCGGTTTTGTTCTGAATTACTGGATTCTCTTGATCTGAAAGGAGATACACATTCTGGCTGTCCAAAAGCTGACTGATAACTTAGGTGTTTATTATCACCACTCTCAGGATATACAGGATATGCTCCACTTTGACTTCTGGATTGCCTTTGCTCATTCTGCTTTATTTCTTCTTCTATTACATGCTTAGGTCTTGCCCATCTTTCATTCTGAGATGGGCTCTGCCTTCCAGAATTCAACTGTTCATCAGAATATTTCAAACTATAGTTTATTGGAGTATCCAGTTCTCCATCATTGTCATCCATATGATTAGCACTGTGTATTTTATGAGCTAAATCAGCAGGATATTGTCCATAACTGCAAAATTTACTTTCTTCGTCTTCAGAATAAGATTCTATAGGCTTCATTTGTCCTCTTTTGCCATACCCATCACTGCTACTGACACTGTTTAAACTATCATTAGAAGCTCTTTTATACTCTACTTTTGAATATGGTACAGAACATGCCCTGTTCTCAGATTTTGGAAAGTTATAACTACTTGTGTGAGAGTGAGCAGTAGAAGTTCTTCTTAAAGCATTTCTGTCTTCTGACAAACTGTGAATTTCTGTTATGGATCCACTGCTTCTTTCATCTTGTGATATGTGCATATTTGCTGTTTCCTCCATTGCTTTTGAAATCTGAGTAGCAGCAGTAGAAATTTGCATTCCTATTCGTTTAGAAGAGTTGCCAGAATTTTCTGCTGTGGTATGGTAGCTGTTCAATCCCACTGCACGGTCCCTATCTAAACTCCGTTCTTTTTCAGAACGAGAATTCTCTGTATTTCCTCTGCTTGATGAGGAGGAGCCAGGCAATACTGTAGTATTTAAATATGGTGAAAGTACAGTCACATTTCCACTGTTAAAGTTTTCTGATCTGCACACTCCATCTTCATGGCGATTACCATCCAAAACATATTCACTGTAAAGATTCTGTTTATGTCTTTGCTTATTGCGGTGAGATGTTTTGGGACTTAAATTATCAATGTTGTCAAAAGTCTCAGATAATTGTTGAGCATCTAATTCTGCTTCCAGTGCTTTTTGCTTTCTGACATGAAGAGATGGCAAGCTTGAACCTGGAGACATAATATTAGCATCTTTGTATTTTGCAGGTCTGTTTGCCATTAAATTTCTTAGAGCTGCAGCACTCCCCATGGCTATCATTTTGTGCTTCGAATGTATGAGATTTTTGAGCATACTGACTGCTCCCAAGTCCCATAACGCTTCCTGGTCCTTTGCATTCCGTGCAGACAGGTTCCACAAGGTTCCACATGCATTACTGACTATTGTCAAACTGTGAGACTTCAAATGATGTAAGAGGGTTTGCAAGCAGTTATTCTCTCTCAGTATTTGCCTGGAATTGAGATGTAAGCATAAAAATTATCACATTAACACCACAAAAAAGCTCAAATATAGCAACTTGTTATTTTTCATAAATATAGCTTGTAAGCTCTGAATAACAAATCCTCTTAAAGAATTAATCAAAAATGTCAAAAGAGTTCTATGGCAACAATAGTTTCCAACAGATCACTTACTACGGCAAATATTCTCTATGCCAAGAAGATAGCCATGTAAATATCCCTAATTATTACATGCAGATATTATGCTGATAATGCTATTTCTGCACATATTCTGCACATGGAATAATTTTATTCTGGAAATATGAATCAAACACAGAAGGATGAAAAGGAAAGAGGCCTACTCAGCTGGTTCTGCTGAGACAGCGACTCCTCCTCTCCTTAAAAGAGATTCATTATGTTAAGATCTGATTCCAGAGTTTGCCCCCCACCCGGAAATCATTCATAAAACATCTTTGACTGAATGGATAACTAAATAATGCAATAAAACAGTATTCTCACCTATGGTCCTCATTTGTAGCAATCAAGCTAGACACATTACGAAGAATTCCCCCTCCACTTTCAATGATGGCTAAAGTATTTGTTTGACTTCGGTAAGTCAGTGTGCCAACCAAAAAGGCAAGAGCACCATCCACTGCACATATATCAGCTTTATTCTCAGTGCAATGTGCTGATAGATTCCATAAGGCACTCAATACACTTTTCAGCGTAGATTCCTGCAAAGAGTAAACATTACATTAGATTTCTTAGCTGTATAAAAAACATTAATACTTTATTTCAATGGGAAATATCTTAAGACAGTGGTTTTCAACCTTTGTTGCCTGGCAACCTAGCTGGGGGGAACCTGAAAGGGAAACTGGGCAACATGAGCGGTAGGCTGGTGCACATGCGTGCACAGCTCAACTCGTGCAAGTGGCAGGCCAGGGGCATGGGCATATACATGCACTCAACTGCAAGTTGAGCTGTGCAAATGTGTGTGCACCGGCCCACAGCCTGGCTGCGAATAGGTTATCAGTGGATAAGTGGATTAGTAGATAAGTTGGCCCTGCAGGATCAATAATTTTCTATGCCCCTCACAAGTGCTTGGCAGGCCTTCTCTTCCTCCTTCCATTTTTGCTCAAAATCACTGCCCTGTCCATGTAGCAACTTTTATCAGTGTATGGGTCTATCTCTATATGTGAGATATATCGCACGGGTACGTCTTGTGCGCCAGTTGCTCCCTTTCCTAGACCGGGATGCCCTTGCCATGGTCACTCATGCCCTTGTCACGTCTCAGCTAGACTACTGCAATGTCCTCTACATGGGGCTGCCCTTGAGATGCACCCGGTGACTACAGTTAGTACAGAATGCGGCTGCGCGGGTTGTTACAGGGGCTTCTCGATACTCCCGTGTGACACCTCTCCTGCGTGAGCTGCACTGGCTGCCTGTGGTTCTCCGGGTTTGTTTCAAGGTGCTGGTGCTAACCTATAAATCCCTACATGGCTTAGGCCCGGGGTATCTGCAGGATCATCTCCTGCCTTCCTCCCACCGTCCGGTGCGCTCGCACAGAGCGGGCCTCCTCAGGGTGCTGTCAGCCAGACAGTGTCGGCTGGCGGCCCCCAGGGGAGGGCATTCTCTGTTAGAGCGCCAACCCTTTGGAATGAGCTGCCCACCAGCCTCATGATAGCCCCGGACCTCCTCTCCTTCCACTGCGAATTAAAGACGTGGCTTTTTCGCCATATGGGCTGAATCCGTAGGGGGATTTTAAATATTTCATAATTTTAATTTGATTTTAATTAATTTTAAATTGATTTTAACTGTTTAACTGTTTATGTAATTCTCTGTCGTTTTTGTAAGCCGCCCTGAGTCCTACGGGAGAAGGGCGGCATATAAATTACATAAATAAATAAATAAATAAATAAATAAATAAATAAATAAATGTATTATTCTTAAACGAGGAAATTTTTAAATATATTTAAATACTAAAAAACACTGATTTGCTACAGTACCTTTTTAACTTCCAAAGCACATTCCATCAGTGCTTTCACACTCCCAACCTCTCGTAGTGTCTTCTTACTATTCACATCTGCCCGCCAAGACAAATTTCTTAAAACACTTGCAATAACCTATAATATTGTCAATGAAATAATAGAAAAAATTAATATGCTTTAACTACCATGCATTTAATAGACTATTACTTGGTATGCTGAGAAATAGTTTATTACTCATTTTAATATGCTTGTTTATACAACAGTACCTTGGTACTCAACTGCTTTAAACTCATCAAATTTGGTACTCAATGCAATTTGACATGAAAATTTTGTCTCGGTACTCATCATTTGTTTGGTACTCAACGCACAAGCTAGAACTTCTCAGAGTTGGCTATCTTGTGACTCACTACACTATTTTTTTATAGGAAAAAATTGTTTGTTACTCTTTGTTTTTGGTATTCATTTTACCTCCCAGAACCAATTAACAATGAGTACTGAGGTACCTCTGTATATTGATTTTAAATAATTCAGTGCTTGAGACTTTGAGTCAGAAATGTAGAGCATGATCTTTTTTTAAATTTGTCATAAAAATTCTTGACAATAATAGACATGAGGTAAAATGGTATCTATAAATCTCTATCTCTATTTTTCTATCTATTTTTTTTACACTATTCATCTGTAAATGAAAGTATTCTAATACATTATTGTGAAATATGAAAACTTTTCCAATGTAATTATTTTAGCATAAAGTATTCAATATAAAAGAAAATATTTCTCAGGATAAGAAAATAAATTGCATCAATATAAAATCCTTAATATAGACAGTTTGCTTATAGCAAATTATCTTATTTGATGGACTTTCAGACATTATGAATTAGTTCAACTCAACATTCATTTAGAATTTCTTAAAAAATCAAATGTTGTAATAAAACAAAGGGCAAAAAACATTTAATGCTTGGTTTGTTCCATTAATCAATTTAATGACTGTGTAGCTCCTTAAAGTTGTCCCTGGTCATATCATATTGCGGGGTGCCGCAAGGGTCGGTCCTCTCGCCTCTCCTGTTCAACATTTATGTGAAGCCGCTGGGCGAGATCATCCGTGGTTTCGGGGTGGAGTACCATCAGTACGCTGACGACACCCAGCTGTACATCTCCACCCCGGATCACCCCAACGATGCCCTTGAAGTGATGTCCCGGTGCCTGGAGGCCGTACGGATCTGGATGGGGAGGAACAGGCTCAGGCTCAACCCATCCAAGACCGAGTGGCTGTGGTTTCCGACGTCCCGATATAGGCAGTTGACGCCATCACTGACTATTGGGGGCGAATCATTGGCCCCCACGGAGAGGGCTCGCAACTTGGGCGTCCTCCTGGATTCACGGCTGTCTTTAGAAGAGCACTTGACGGCCGTGACCGGGAGGATTTTTCATCAGGTTCGCCTGATTCGCCAGTTGCGTCCCTTCCTGGATTGGGACTCGTTACGCACGGTCACTCATGCCCTTGTCACCTCCCGCCTGGACTATTGTAATGCTCTCTACATGGGGCTCCCCTTGAGGAGCACCCGGAGGCTCCAACTGGCGCAGAGTGCGGCCGCGTGGGTGGTAATGGGAGCGACGTGGCGTTCCCATGTAACACCTCTCCTGCGCGAGCTGCACTGGCTCCCGGTGGTCTTCCGGGTGCGCTTCAAGGTTTTGGTTACCACCTTTAAAGCGCTCCATGGCTTAGGACCTGGTTATCTACGGGACCGCCTACTACCACCAATAGCCTCCCACCGGCCAGTACGCTCTCATAGAGAGGGACTCCTCCGGGTGCCGTCAGCCAAACAATGTCGGCTGGCGACCCCTAGGGGGAGAGCCTTCTCTGTGGGGGCACCTACCGTCTGGAATGAGCTCCCCCTGGAGATACGGAGGATCCCGGATCTGCGCACCTTCCGCCGCGCTGTGAAGACCTTTTTATTCCAGCAGGCGGGCTTGGCCTAATCTCTTCCCTTTTAAATATGTAAATTTTAATCTGTTTTTAAATTATTGGGGTGTTTTAATCTGTCTGGGCCAAAATAATTTAATTTGATTTTATCTGGTTTTTAAATTTTTTATGTCTATGTTATTTTATTGTTTGGCTGTTCACCGCCCTGAGTCCTTCGGGAGTAGGGCGGTATACAAATCGAATAAATAAATAAATAAATAAATAAATAAATAAATAAATAAATAAATAAATATCAATTGTTTTTTTTTCCTCAAAAGCAAATTCAGAAAAATTATGTCACTCAATATACTAATTGAAAAATTACAGAATAATAAAATAAAAAGGGAAAACTTTTGAAAAACCATAAGATCCAGATAGCAGATTACAGTATACAAAAGAAAGAAAAAAGAAATGTTGCATGAAAGTTATAAATATATAGAAACAGAATACCCGAGCAATGAAGTTTACCTGCTGCAAATCTTCACTTTCAGATTTTAACTGTGCTACTAAAGCTCTCATGCAACCCTTCATAGAACACAAAGTAGCCTATTTGAAAGAGAGAGAAATTTTATGAAACAGGTAATTAGATGTATGTTGGCAGTTGAGGATAAATTATCTAATGGATATTCAAAATAGAATTCTTTTCTCTATTTTTGCACTTAGTCCACTAACAGCTTCTCATAAAACTACAGTAATAAACAAATGAGAACGACAAACATAATAAGTTAGAAGCAGTTTTTTTCTAGGTTTAAGAGAACATCTTAGCTGAGAACCCCCAAATTTAATTGAATACCAAAAGGGAGAAGATCCCCCCAAATAATGGGGGGGGGGAGGAGAGAGGAGAGAATCTGAAATAAACATCTCAAAAAATCACAATAAAGCAAGCACACTTCCAAATATAAATTAAAATAATTCATGGATAAGCAAAAATAACACATATAATTATAGATCAACATTCATTGCATAGAACAAGAGTAAGAGCATAATCTTTTTATTAAAAAGACAATTTTAATTAATGCAGAGCTACATGAATAAGATGAAACAAAAAGAACTGGATCTTAGCTCATAATTAGTTCACACAAGAAGAAAACTGCTGATGATACGATTCAGATGGCACCTAGATTCAGAGTTTACAACAAGACTTAAAATAGCAAGAATCAATCTGTGAAGTACAACAGCATCTATTACAATAAACAGAAATAAATCCAAAGAGATTAAAACCTACCTTATTGGCTACATCTCCAAAAGTTAAATTTGTCAGAGCCATTCCAGCATATCGTCTTAATGTGACACTATAATGGTCATTAGTAAGCCCATACATTTCACAATCTACCTGTAGCAATTCTGCAATGGCTTGTAAACCCCCTATTAAAATAATTGAAAGATTTGTTAGAAATATTTTGGTAAATATTTCTATTTTGGAGAATAAATATTGGCATATTTATTCTCCAAAATTCCTTTCTTAAAAGCGTTAATACATAAAAAGAAAGAAAAAACAAAAATTATTATTATGGCTTTATTGTATACAAGATAAATAAAACTAATCACTCTTGGAAAGAGCACATTCTTAGCTTTATAATCCTGGATTAGAGATATATGGTCAGTTTCTATTTATTGATTTAATGGAAACTCTAATGAATATTATTTTGTAGGGTTTGATGATTTATTTAAAATTTAGAATGAATTAATGTCTTGTATGCTCTAAATTTCAAATTTTATTGAATGTTCCAAATTTTCCTGTACGCCCCAAACTCCAAATTTTATCTTTTTAAGCCACCAGGAGTCATTGAGTGTGAGTTGGGCGACTATATAAATTTTCATTCATTCATACATATGTAAAATGTAAATATGAAGCAAGGGAATTGGGCTATGAACAAGTTCAGTGGCTGTTCTGGAAATTCCTGCTGGTTATTGATGTATGCATGTACAACCTTTGGGCTGAAACTGACAGTGAAGCAAGATAATTTAATAATTAAGTAAGTAAGTAAGTATATATAAATAAAATAATAGATAATATAACAGTTGAATTAAATTGGTAGAAGAGCCTCTATGTGTGTAGGTGTCTATCTCTGCAAGTGTAGGTATATTTGTATGACCTCTGTGTTGGCATAATTCTAATATAGATTTTGGAATCTTTCTTTTGGCTAGCTTCCTTTATTTTATGGATAACATGAAAAACACCAGATGGAGCTATTCAAAACTGGATCCTAAAAAACTCTGAGAATTCAGTTATTTTTCCTTCTAAATACTAACTAAAGTTATCAAGTTGCATTTCTTGCTTTTTTAAAATAAAATCATCATTTAGCTTCATTTTGAGTCTTTTTCTAATACCATAGTAATTAAATTACTAACTTAAATTACTCCTGCATTTTATATTTTTAAACGTGGAAACTCAAAACAATTGCACTTTTTCTTTTTTTGGTGCATGTGTCAGAGCAAACTGAAACTGCCAGAGCACCAGATACATTCTGATTTATATTTCTCCCCTTATGGGTGTTTTACTGTACTGTCAGTATTTCCCCATTTTCACTAGTATGTTTTCACATAATAAGGAATTTTAAAAAGTGTATTCAATACTTCGAATAAACCTAATAACAACATTGATTTAATGTGGATTTGGAAACAATCAATTAACTTATATATCTGCTCCCTGCAAAAGAATGCCCTAACCTCCTTCTAACAACTGTATATTAAGGACAAAGTTTTACTTTTCTGCAATGTCATTTTTTTCTTACCAAGTTCATTCATTGCATGCCTATGCTCTTCATCAAATGAAAGCTTCATTAAAACACATACTGCAGGACAGATCTGATGGTCAACTGGAGCTGGCACTATGTCAGAACAAAAAAAATCATTTTCATTTAATATATCAGTTGAAGAATGCAACAAAACCTTTTAAGTTACACTGTTAAACAATTTATTAAACAAATGCAGTCAAACAGATATACTTCTCTAAGCATTTGCAATGGAAAAAAAATTGAAGTCTGCCAGTTTTGCATCAGAAAGAATAACCAATCAGTTATAGCACTTCCAAAGTTGCTGTCAATGAACGTGATTCCTATTGCCAAAGGTCAACAGGGCCTGGCACTCATAATCACTTCCATGTAACTTCAATTTACAAGTAGTCAACTTACAACTATTCATTTGGTGACTGTTCGAAATTACAATGGCACCGAAAAAAGGGATTAAAGACAGTTTTTCACACTTATGACTGTTGCAGCATCCTTGTTATGTGATAAAAAAACAGACACCTGGCAACTGGCTAATATTTATGATGGTTAAAGGATCATATGATCACCTTTTGTGACATTTTGACAAGCAAAGTCAATGGGGAAGCCAGATTCACTTAACAACCGTGTTACCAAGTTAGCAACTGTAATGATTCACCTAACAACTGTGGCAAGCAAGGTTATAAAATGTGGTAAAACTAACTTAACAACAAAAATTTGGGGCTCCATTGTGATCGTATGTGAAGGATACCTGTAATGTAAAACTACACTGCTGACAGTAGTATGAAAACTGAGAACCAGTTAAACTATTAAAAGAGGGTTAGAAAAGATACTAATGAACAGATGGATAAGGGCTGCTCAACACAAAATATTTGGATATTATAATAATTACAAAGTAACTTCCTTACATTCCTGGAATGCTCTATGTAAATCATGAAACTGGCCGCTTTCCATGTGTTTCCAAGATAAACTGTTATGCAATCCTACGAACTCTCTATGTTTAGTGGTATCTATGAATATGTCACCATTTTTCATTTTTCACAGATTGCTTCAGACTTGAAAGGCCTATATTAAAATTGAAACAGGATGTTTCAAATTTGGAATGCTTTGAGTTCAAAATATTTGAGGCATCATTGGGAACTCCATAGTCCTTAGATATGAAGAGCTGCAATTGGTGTAATAACTGATCTTAATTATTATATCTTTGTTTTCATATCATATATGGAATTTCAGAGGCTAGTATATCAGAAGAAGTTTGGCAGCACCTTTTCCATCTAATGTATTTTATTAAAAGGTATATACTTTCACGAACTGCAACACCACAGACTAACACAACTCTCCTCTACAAATACTAGTTCAAAAAAGTAACAAGAAATCACTAAAAATTATAGTGATTTGGACATCTTTTGGATTATATCTAAACATTACTAATGTTGTTTTTTAAATATATTATCTGTTGCTCTGTGCAAAGGAATGTTTGAAGAAGTCAGTCATTGCAAACTGATATAATTACCATATAACTAAAAATTTAATTATTACAAGTGATTTCATACTTCACCTTATGCTGAAGTATTAGAAATTTAGTAAATAAATTTTAGGAGTTAAAATTCCCAATCAATACAGAAATATATACTTTATAACAAAAATGACATGACCTAAAATAGATAAATTTTCCCATTCCCATTTGCACCTTGTATTTCGAACAGCCTGCTTGGAAAAAATATTCCACAAATAGCCAGAGTTCAAAGCTGTTAACACCAAAGAATACTTCACAAAGGTTTTGAAACCTGAATTGCAACCAACATACTTGGATTTTTATCTTGGTCCATGCCCTGATCATGTGCTTCCTGCCATTCCCAACAAGTTTCACAGTAAGCTCGGATTTGTTCTAGAAGATGGAGAACACGTATTTCTCGTCTGCCTCGTTTATCATCAGGCTGGGAATGAATGATATTATGTAGTGCTGCACTGGCTCTGGCACGAGCCTCTTTACTTCCACGAGAGTTGCCCAACAACACAGAGTCTTTATCATTGCCATGCAAAAGTTGAATGAGAAGAGGAAGACATCCAGACTGGCGCATAGCTATGCAGCTATCCTGGGAGCTAGACATGGCTAGCAATGTTCGTGACATATCATCTTTATCATGAGTGCCCAACATTGACAGCAGTGAATACACCATTTCAACCTGCAAAGCAAATAGTTTTAAAACACCGTTATGTACAGTTAATGTGGATGGGATATACTAAAATGAATATTCTAGGGTGACTCCACTTATATGTGGTATATGAGTAATTTACATATAAATATTATTTATACCCACACAGAGGCAGAGATGGATGTAATGTAACGTGACGTAAGGTAACATAAGGTAACGTAACTTAAGGTAACATGTTTATGTTCCAAAATAAAACTTACTTAAAAAGCTAAAGGCAGAGCACAGTTGAGTAGTAATAATTTATGTGGGTAAACAAAGCAGTCCAAAATAATTATGCATTAGCATTCAACTCAAACTATTAATTTGGCAATAATCAGATATTATACCATTTAACAATATTAACAGTATCATGACAGGCATAATAATTAGCTTTTTTATAAAACTGAAATAAGTATTGAAAAGTATGTTAGATGTTAAAACTTGATAGTTTTTACATATTACAAATAAGACAGCCAAGTTGGTCTAGCGCTTGTGTCTATCAGTCATCCAGGTCATGATTGTCCTAAAGGTGCTTTTTTCAAGAAACAACTAGATTTTCTTTGTTTTTCCTTGAAGACATTCTGCTTTTCATCCAAGAAGCTTCTTCAGTTCATGAAGAGATGAGAAAGGATGAGAAAGGAAATGTCTTCAAGGAAAAACAAAGAAAGTCCAGTTGCCTTTTGAACGAAGCACCTTTGGGTCTAGTGCTTCTAGTCCCATTTTAGGCATAAAAAGCCGGGCTTTAACTTTGGGCTAATCACTCTCTCTCAGCCTAATCCACCTCACAGGATTGTTATAGTGTGGAAAATAGGAGGAGGAAGGAATAATAGGGAAGTTAGTTGCCTTGAGTTATTTATAAATAATAATAAAGTTGGGATAAAACATTCAAATAAATAAAAAAAAATTAATTTGGATTGAAATGTATTAATAAAAGCTAGTTGGCCTTTTGAAAATATATCATGGTTCTAAAATATTTCAAAAGCATCTGAAATAAAAATTTTCCCACAGGATACATGGTTCAGATGGATAAGAATAAAGAATTCATTGTTAAGTAAAAATTACACTATATTGCATGTATAGAGCTTGCTTTTAAAAACAAAATTACAAAATAAGGTTAGATTTGTTAATATTACATTTTGCATTATTGGAAAAACCAGAGACAAAGGTTAGAAGATTCCTAGAAATCTTCTAGTCCAGCCCCCTGCCAAGGACAAGAATGTTCAGACCATTGCAGACAAATGGCTGTCCAAGCTTGGATTGATGATGGAGCACCCAAGATTCCATGAGCCAGAATGTTCCACTACTTAATAGCATTAACAGTCGGGAAATTCCATGTTATTTCAAGTTTATGTCTCCCAAGTACGACCATTGGTTCTGGTCCTACCTTTTGGAAAATACATCTGTATCTTCTTGGCTGTCTTGCTTTCAAGTATTGGAGGACTGAATTCATGTTTTCTGCTCTTTTCTTTAGGCTAAATATTGCCAGTTCTTTTAACTGTTCTCTGTAGGATTCAGTCTCAAGCCTCTAACCTTCTTAATACCTCAGCATTTTTCTTGTATTGTGGTAATCAATACTGGATATAACACTAAAGATGTGTTCTGACCACTCCAGCAGAGATTGGAAGTATCACTTCCCATTATCTAATCCAACTTTTAATTGGTTTATTTGAAAGTTACAGAAAACTGCTGGCTCATGCTTAATCTGTGGTCTATCAGGATATCCAGATCCTTTTTGTAAGTACTATTGCTGAGCCAGCTATTAGTTATCTGATATCTGTACAACTTATTTTTTCCTACTTAAATGGAGAACGCTACGTTTCTCACAACTGAATTGCATTTTGTTGGAAAAGACCCAATGTTCAAATCTATTAAATTCCTTTTTACAGTGAATCTGTCTTTTGGGGTATCACCAAACCCAACTTCACAAATTATTGGATAAACAGAGATGATGACTTCAGAATTGTGAAGAATTGAAGCTGTATTTCTATTAAATAACGTTTTTTAATGGTATGTGTGACAAAACAAACAAATTTACATGCACATTTGCAATGACAGTTCCTATAGACTAAGAGGATTATCCTCGTGTCCCCCTATGAGACAAATATGTCCCATTATCCATTTTTAGAATATCCTCACTACACAGCCTTTTTTTTATACCAACCCCAAAATGAAGATACAGCTATACTTTTAAAGTAACATTTTTCATAATCTCTCAACATAAATCTAGATGAACAAAAGAAATCCCCAATGGCTAGCATTTCTGGAAGTCTTATTGGCTGCTTGAGGCTTCTGGAAATATTTCCGCACTCCTGTCCAGTCACTGGGTACTGCCTTCCACAGCCATTATTGCTTGGGCTGCAGGAGCTGCTTGCTCTCCTGTGTCAGCAAATACAAGTGCAGAAAGTTAGACTTTGAGCTCTTTATGGCAACTATATATTTCACTATAGTGCAGGAATGAAAGAACTCAAGAAAACTGAACAAGCTTTACTGTTTCATGCAGACAAATCTTACAATCCAGGAATCAGAGTTCACTCTATAGTCTTGCGCCAGTCCAAAGGTCAACCAGGGAATCAGAACATGTTCAGGTGGTCATCTCTGAGACCAGAAAGATGTTTGGTAACAGTAGTCTGACGCCAAAGCTCTTTTATAGCTCTGAGTCAGGCACATTTATCTTCCTGAGTCCTGCCTTTCTTTTAAGAAACCTCGCTGAACATTTCTGTTCTACTCACTTGATATTTGTGTGAAGGCTGAGGATCTTTTCCTGCTCAGGTTCTAGGTCAGGTGATTAAGCCTGCTGCCACGCTTCTGTACCAGTAACTGATTACCTGACCTTATCCCTACCCTTGGATTAAACATTAAGCAAAATAAGCATGTGATTAATGCTTATTAATTAAGGGGGGACCAGAGTTTTTTCCTCCTAGCTACCATGATCTAAATTCTTTCATTGCCACATTCAATTTTAGTTTTCAGCACTTATGAAATTTTAATGTCTTGTCAGTGAATCAATGAAAGAGCCAAGAGGCACCACTGTTAGGCTTTGCTTAAGGCATCAGTTGGCCTTAATCTGGCCCTGCTTGTCTACTCCTTTGAACACATGTGAAGATATCTGAAAGACTGCTGGTTCCAAATCGCGGAGATCAGTACCAGTCGTGTCCTGCTCTTTCAATTCAGAGTCTGAATCTATTCGGTCCAGGATCTTAATGGGAGATGAAGCATGAAACATTTCTACTGTTTTCATTAATTTTCCTGTGCTAATGTCATTTTGCAATTATCGATGCAATAATTTTGATTGTCAATTAATCACTCACTACAGCACTGCCACTCCCTGGCAGCATCTATTGTTTTGTTATATTTATGAGCTGGGTGAGATCAAAAGCATTCTGCCACTTTCCCCTTTTAGCCCGAGTGCCAGGAAGATCAGAGAACCTATTTATCAATCTTTTGGAAGACAGCTAAAACTCTGTCCAAAAATATCCAGGCTGACAGGTTGGTAGGGCAGCATGTGGGCCAGGATGCAGCCGGAAAGTTATTCCTTCCTGTTTCACCCTGCAACCTCCTCTGCTACATATATATAATACTGGAGAATGCACATTAACTCTGCCACGAGGGAAAAGACCCTAGGAATAGCCAGTGGTACAAATTTGCCACAGTCATATGCTTTCTCATTATGTGGTAGAAATAAGACTCATAAGGCTTTTGATACCAAAGAATCAAAAGTACATTATCACCCACTATTCTTCTTTATACACAGACAAACTAGCTTGCACAAAGTTGGCCAGTCAAATTTCTCTTACTAAAGCCTGGCCATATATTTGCAAAAGTGGTTCTGGCTGAAGTTTTATACCGTAATTAGTTTTGAAAAATCCTGAACTTATGGTAAAGTGGTAAAAGTTTGGAGGTGGGCAAATTTGTCTTTATCTAGAGAACACAGATCATAATGTCTGATATTAATACCTGGAAAAATTCTAGAGCAGATGATAACGAGACTGATTTATAAATGGTCCTTGGTGCACACTGAGCCTGTTTTTTTTCAGATGTTTCATTACCCAAACTAGATAACATCATCAATGCTAGTAAGGAGTGGAATTTGCTCTCAGTATATATTCTAGTGGCTTGTCCTGGGGTGTCTTAGAGGTTCTTTGGTTGGGCTGTTTACTGTTGATCCTGGCATGAGGTTTCCCAAGGTCTTTCCACATATCATTACATCAGTATAGTACAGTGATGGCTAACCTTTTCAGGACCGAGTGCCCAAAGCATGTATGCAAATTTGCATGTGGTCCCGTGCATGGCCCCTGCATGAGCCCCCCCGCATGTGCGTGTGCCCTCCGCACGCGCCCTGCGCATGCGTGCATGGCTCTGCCTCTGTGCTCTGCCCCCCCTGCATGCGCGGCAGTGACCTGACGACCAGCTGGCTGGCGGGAGGTGCACGTACATGTGCAGCAGAGCAGAACTGGGGCAACGGCTCGCATGCCCACAGAGAGGGCGCTGTGTGACACCTGTGGCACGCGTTCCATAGGTTCGCTATCACGGGTATAGTAGAAGACAGAACAAAAATTCTGTCTTAACAGATCAGTTAAATGGGCTGGTAATAATAATGCAACTGAACAGAATCAAAAACAAAACATTTCATTTAGGAAACAAAATTCAAATGGACAGATATAGGATAGAGAATATAGTCTCAGACTTGATAACATTGTAAAAAAGGTTTTGTAATATTGTTGATTGAAAACTGAATATGAATCAGCAGTGTAATGTGGTTATCAAAAATGCAAATACAAATTATAGAAAACATTTCATCTTTTTTTTCTATAAGTCAACTCCCTCCTTGAATGTGTGTTCAGTCCTGGCTATCACACTTTGAAGACTCAAATAAAATGGAACAAGTTTAGAGAAAAGCAACGAGGGCAATCAGACAGTTTAGAAACTTGGCACAATAAAGAAATACTGAAGGAACTGGGAATAATGCAAGATAGCCTTCTTCAAATTTCTTGAAGGACACTACGCAGAAGATCAAGATATTTCATCCAAAAATGCATTTCGGCAACAAAAAAGCATTGAATTCGAAGTAGTAAAAGTAACCTGATAGTACCATCACATAAGCAGAGAAATGGTGGATTGTCTTTTATTGTATATGTTAAAAGCAGACTAAATAGCCATCTACTGAGAGACTATTAATTCCTGCACCAAGCAGGGAACTGGAGTCTGGAGACTGGGCTCTTTTAACTGTATCATTTTAGGATGAAACTCTACCAAGGGACCCCCCCAAAAAAATTAGGGATGGCAACTGAATAACTTTAGGATGAGAATATATTAGTAAGCACAGTGCACGTAACAGATTTAAATCTTACAGCTGTGCAGAACTGCAAATTTAATTACACTGACTATAGTCGAATATGCAAATTTTACATAGCAAACACTTAAGTAAATTGAAATCTAAAACATCTGGATGGTATCAGCTTGCCCTTGATGGTACCAGCATTAACAGAGCATATTTATTTATTTATTTATTTATTCAATTTATATACCGCCCTTCTCCTAGTGGACTCAGGGCGGTGCACAGCCAAAACTAAAATACATAACAATACAAAATTTAAAATTAATTAAAAGAATTATATACTTTGGCCTGAATTAAAACAGTGCGAATTAAAACCCATTAACAAATTAAAACTAAACAATTAATAACCATTAAAAACTAAAAAAGGGGGGCGGGGTTCACGCCAGCCCTGCTTGCTGGAAAAGAAGTGTTTTCAGGGCTCGGCGAAAGACCCGAAGATCCGATATCCTTCTTATCTCCGGGGGCAAATCGTTCCAGAGGGCGGGGGCTGCCACAGAGAAGGCCCTCCCCCTGGGGGTTGCCAGCCGACATTGCCTGGCCGACGGCACCCTGAGGAGTCCCTCTCTGTGGGAGCGTACTAGACGGTGGGAGGCTATCGGCGGCAGAAGGCGGTCCCGCAAGTACCCAGGTCCTATGCCATAATCTGATGACTCACTCAACTTCTTTTAGGATGTATATTAAAATTGTGTTATAGATACTGTTAGACCTGAAAATAGCTATTAAAAATAATATTGACCACTAACTCTATATACCAGGTATGCATTTTTGGAGTTATATATTAATTACGGCCATCTTCAGGTTGCTTAATTATAATAAAAGTTGAACTCTATGCCTCTGTCTATACATTTCACCCTGAATTTCAGCCTAAAGTGTTTTTTCAACTATTCAGCTTTTTGTATTTTTCTGTATCTATTAAATGACTGCTTCAATAATCTTAAAACCCCGAATTGTATGAATGTTATAAATCATTACTAAACACAAAACAGTGCATTTTTAAAAGTAGGATTACAATTGTTTAAAAGCATCCATATAAATTATTAAAATATCCCAGAGCAGCAGACTATTCCATCTATTAAAATCTCTTTCATAGTTTAAAAAAAAAAAAGAGTCCATTTATCTCCAAATAGATACTCTTCATTTTCACACCTATTTCTCTGAATTCACAAAGCAGAATGGGACTAGAGCAGGGATCACCAAGCTTTCAGACCTCAGGGATCACTAAATTCATAATTTTAAATCCTGTGGACCACTAATATGATCTGCCTAATGACTGGCTGGGTGGGGTGGGGGGTGGTGGCTAGGTGGTCATGTGACTGAGTAGGCGTGGCCAACTCAATATCACTCATGTCGAGGGGTGCCTCGCCGGCCTCTACTCGCTACTCCCCTCCCAGCCACTCCTCACCTGCTGGCCCAGGCTCCTCAGGGCCCCAACAGGAAGCAGTTGTTGAAGCTAAGCAGCCACCCCGAGAAAGAGTTGGCGAAACAGCTGGCTCAGTTGAAATTGGATCTGAGAAGGAGGCTCAGCAGAAGCACCTCACTGAGGATTACAAGCATAGGCTTTCCAAGCTGAGGGAAGACCTGAGGGTGTGCAGGGCCAGGTACTGGCGCCTGAAGGCTCAGCGGGCTGAGATGGTCAGCCAGTTCCAGGCCATGATGCAATCCCATTGGAACAAAACCCTTTGGCTCTTCACCACCAGTGGCACTTCCCTCCAGCCTTTGTCGAAAGCCCTGTACCAGGAGGCTGAAGCAGACCCCAAGTTGGAATTTCTGCCCCCCTCCAACCCGCACAAAAAGACCCTGAAGGGGGAGTCTCTCTGCAGCAACACAAACATTCATTGCACATATCTGTCCCAGGGGCTGTAGTTTGTCGACCCCTGATTTAGTGCAATATAAAAAAATGCAAATAATTTTTCTGCGGACCACCAAATTTTCTCGCGGACCACCAGTGGTCCACGGACCACCAGACCGCTGGACTAGAGCATCCATTACTGATTATAAATTGAGATAGGTCAATGCAGATGTAAAATATATTTTAATTATAAAATGGAGAATTAGCAAATCTACAGAAAACTTTGGTTACCTTGGTACCCAAATGACTTGTGAGTCTTCGAGGAACAGAGTAATTACTATTAGAACTCATAACACTGGATGTTTCATGGTCCATCCGAGCAGTTGAACTCTGTAAGTTTAAGAAATAGGGTTATAAGGGAGTTAAAATATTAGCACAATGCAAATGTGGAATTTACTGTTACAGTAAATAAGAAGTCAACTCAGTAAATATCTCATTATTTTTGTATATATATTTTACTGAACTATGATTATCAAACATTATCAAGTAACAAAATAACATAAATCCAAGATGCATAGATATAAGATATATAGAAAATATTTTTAAAATCTATTTAAAAGTAAAGAGTTAGGTACTGTAGATATACAAATTTACCATAAAAGTTATCACATTATAGCCTGCCCTATTGCTTTTGAAATAAACTATAAAACCCATCCAATCCTGATAGAATTGTGGATCCTGCTTCTGATGTTTTATTATTTTAATAATGCCTATGATTTTTTTTGTAAATTAGCAATTGAACTGGATTTGTTAATCCACATCTTAACTGTTAAGAGATTTTCAATGTTGGGCAATTATTATTTTATCTGCTAAAGTTAAATAGATAAATAAGCTAATTTTTAAGCGTGAGACATGGTCTTGTAAATAAATGCAGTAAATTTAAATCTGGAAAGCATTTGATTGTTTATTTAATAGCAATACTTAATTCTACAAAAATGTTATGCCATAAGAGCATACCTTTATCGAATGAATATCACAATTGAAATTGAAGCCACTTTTTGGACAACCTCACCAACAATTGGAAAAAAAGTCTGATATATGTGTGCCAATCTAAATGGAGTCAAGTGCCAGCAATGTATAATCTTCCACTGCAGTTTTTCCATTGCAGCTCGTATCTTATTGTTTAGATTTTTATTCGATATGTTATAACAAGCCAGTATAGTACAGAAGAAAAAAAAAACATTTCCCACTTATGCAAAGAGGTCCTTTTGTAGGATTTTATTTTCAATTGACTGATTGATTAAATGCTGTCAGTTCAGTGTTGACTCTTAGCAACCAGATAGATTTTCTCCATCATTATCTGCCCCTAACTTGGTCTTTCAGATTCTACTGCGTTTCCTCGAAAATAAGACATGTTCGGATAATAAACCCAATCGGTCTTTTCAGCACATGCGATAATATAAACCCCTCTCAAAAAAATAAGCCCTCCCCCACCAACTACTTACACACATGTGGAGCCGGTCCCGCCATTTCCTCTGGTTGCTTGCTGTGCAACCAAAATGAGTTGAGGAGGCGAGGCTGGAGGGGGGAGACATGCCCTCCCCTCCCTTTGTGCCAACACGTCCCACCCCACCCCAATGGCAACAGCAGCCTGGCTGCTTCTCTTCCCCACCGTCTCTTTATTGAGAGGGGTGGCAGGTGGGGTGGGGGAGAAGCAAGATGTGTGGAACGAGATGTGACTCCCCTTGCTGTCTCTTCTTCAACCCCCTCGCCGGGCATGGCATGGCAGGGCTCCTGCCCCTTGCTTAGCCACCTGCCCCCTTTAGGGATGCAATTTGAGGGTGGCAGATGGGGTGGGTGAGAAGCGGGACGCAGGTCTTACCTTTCAAGCTCCGTTGCTTTCCTTGATGTTGTGTCCAGGGAAACATGCTGTAAAAGAAAACCTTATTGCGAGTTCGAGAAGTGTGATTGAACTCGTGAGAAGGCTTTCTTTTACAGTGCGTTTCCCTGGTCACAACGGCGAGGAATGCGACGGAGCTGGAAAGGTCCCACTTCTCACCCGCCCTACCTACCACCCCCAAATTGCATCCCTAAAGGGGGCGGGTGGCTAAGCAACGGGCAGGAGCCTTGTCATGCCCGGCGAGGGGTGGAGAAGAGACGGCAAGGGGAGCCACGTCCCACCCCACCTGCCACTCCTCTCAATAAAGAAACAGCGGGGAAGGGAAGCAGCTGTTGCCATTGGAGTGGGGTGGGATGTGTTGGGCTGCTCGGCTGGGGCAAAGAACAGCGAGGGGAGGCAACAGCAGTGACAGGACATCCAGTCCCATGCTCACTGCCTCCTGCACCCCCAAAATAATTAGACACACCCCTGATAATAAGGCCAAGCCCTTATTTTTTTGGGGGGGGGTCAAAAGAAAACAAGACCCTGTCTTATTTTTGGGGAAACATGGTACCAGTACATCTATCACCTTTTAAATGAATCCATTCCACCTTTTTATTGAATGAGTGGGAATAACATAGCTCCCAGATGGGCAAATATTCTGCAATATAAGGTAGAACTAATGATTTCAAAGCTTTTCAGGAGTCACATGGATAGGTGGAACTGGATAAATGCAGAACAACAAAACCTAAAGCCAAGACACACCATTATATCAGCTCACAGCAGGAAATAGAAATCTTGATTTCTAAAAATAATTTATTAGCAGAGTAAAGGGGATGGCAGAGTTCTAAAATAGGGCTGCTGTTTTAAACAGTGTCTTCCAGAGGCGGGAAAAAGCAGTATAAATGAAATAAAACTAAAGAGAGAAATATTAAGGTGAAACTGCATCAATATAAGTAAATATCAGTTGCATAAATAAAAAGAAAAGAATCCATTAAACAATAGGAGGTATTGATTATAACAGCATCAAGCAAAATAGTATGTGAGCTTTGCAAGGGCACAGCTATTTTACATCACAGAAATAACTACGGATTTTGATGTCAAAAAATATTTATTTCCCAATTGTTATTTTTCTAAATAATTTAAGGCAGTGAACACACATAATACTTCCACCTCCTCCTTTTTTCCCTACAACAACAATAACCCACTTTGGCCGAACCGATTGTTAAATTGGTGACTGGCCCCACCCCACCCACTGGGGGTTGCCATTCAGGGTGGGGAAGCTGCAGGGGCATGACTGGGAACTGCGCTGATCAGCTGGGAGGCTGCAAATGGACCAGTGAAGCCCATCAGCTGGGAAGCTGTGAATGAACCAACCGATCAGTTGGGAGGCTGTTCTCCCCCACTGCAGTCCGTTTTTAGCCTGGAGAGCTTCCTACAAACTCCTGCAGCAACCACCCTTCCCTCACTAACTTGCTTTCCAGCTCAGTTCTCTGGTATGCAGGGCAACAAAAGAAGACCATGCGACTACCAGTTTTTTTTTTAAAAAAAACTTCAGTCAGACCTTCCAATTTCGTGATATCTTTTTTCCCCGAGAAGTTGGAAGGTCTGGCTGAAGTTTTTTTTTTTTAAAAAACTGGTAGTCGCATGGTCTTCTTTTGTTGCCCTGCAAGGAGGAGAATGGAGCTGGAAAGCAGGTTAGTGAGGAAATGGTAGTTGCTCTGGACTGATGTGGAAGTGGGGATTTTGCATTATGATTGCTCATAAGTAAGTAGGAACCAGTAAAAGGAATGGAAAAATCTTTATCTGTGGATCAGCGTTTTTTAGTCTTGGCAGATTTAGATGCTGCCTGGGGAATTCTGGGAATTAAAGTCCATGCACCTTAAAGTTGCAAAAGTTGAGAAACATGGGTCTACACTAGAGTTTAGGGTTTTTCCATTCGTGTTTTATTTAGAGTTTGGTGCAATTAAATATATCAGTTATGGTTTCCTTAACAAATAGTAAGTAATTAAAGCGATATGAACCATTACTGGACTTTTTGTGAGAAACTGAAATAAAAGTTGATCTGTGCTTTGATAATTAGATATGGGGTTATGGAAATAATGTAGACAAATGTTAATCTTAAAGTAAGAGTTTGATATATTTTGTACTTATATCTGTACCAAAGAAACTTGGAAGTCATTCTTTTTCGGTTTTCCTTCTTTTCCTCTTTCTTTCTTACACTTTCACTCTTTTTCTTTCCTGAGCCTTTTCTTTTTTCAAATCTGTTTTTTATTTGTTTATCCCTTAGCTTTGTATTTTTTTGATGTATGAAGGATCAAATACTCTGCCATTATAATTCTACATTCCTTATTTACAGAAATCGTATCAAAATTTAGGATGAAATCCACTGGGAGTCATCTCATATAAGGCAGGCTCTGAGTCCCTCTAACCAAAAAATGTTTATCGATAGAAGAGAATATTTGTAGCTCAGGGTTGAACTGTGATGTCCTTGGTGCTCTCTGAGCTTGATGGTTTTCTTGAGATTTTTCATTATCAAACTAGGTTAACATCATCAGTACTAGAAGGGAGTGGAGTTTGCTCTTATTTTCATATACTAGTGGCTTCCCCTGTCAGTGTTAATCAGTTGCTTCACAAACAGTGTTTTGATTGGTGCCAGGTCTCTACAGCCTCAGGCACCCCACCCTCAAATGTTCTTTAAAATACAGTTTCCCAGCATTCTTTTAGGAACCTCCAACATGCAAACTGTGGTTACTCATCCTAAAATGAATCCTCTTTACCTGGAGCTTCAAAATTTGCTGTTTGCTAGGAAGATGTGTAGCTAAAAGTCAGTCTACATTTAGTGTACATCTGACTTTGGGGATATTTCTTCATAACCAAACAAAAGTGTATTTTCTGTGCAGTTCACATCCCTTGCTCACTGGATCTGGATGTCACAAAGCAAAGCCCACATTTTGTAATTAACTCCCATGCCCTGTTTTGACTGGCAGAGTGCTGCAGGAGGCTGAGTACTGCCACGCCCACCCAGCCAGTTATTAGAGCACAGAACCAGTTGTTAAAAAATTTGCAGCCCACCACTGCTCCAAGGTATCTTCTGATTCTAAAGCCCCTTCTTTGTGGCAGCCCCCCAAAAGCCTGTTTTGTGACCTGCCTATCACACTCTTGGGCAAAACATGTGAGCCATTTCCTCCTTTCAGTGGTCCATGAAAGTACATCTATAGTATGTAGATGCAGAAATAAAAGTCGAAAAAAGGTGAACAACATTTTTACAGAACTAGAGATACGTTGAGGCCGGGTGTGACAAGGAGTGGCTGGGAAGGGAGGGCTGGCCGAGGTGCCCCTCAACGTGAGTGATGTCGAATTGGCCATGCCCACACAGTCACATGACTACCGAGCCACACCCACAGAACCGGTTGTTAAAAAATTTGAATCCCACCACTGCTCTGAGGTGGAAGTTGTCACAACTCACAGTCTCTTGGTTTCTAGCCTGGTGCCTTAACCACTAGACCAAACTGGTTCTTATCATCAAATTTGGTTTGCATAAAGTTCTGTGTTTCACGTAACTTTGATTGACATGAAAAGGAATTGCATGATAGGCATCATATGCATATTAGAGTAGTATCTGTCAAAAGCCTCAACTCCAGCTGAATTGTTTGTAATTAATTGTACTAGGACCAGGAAATCCCAAAGATAGCAGCCTAAAAAACATTTTGGGAGATGCAAGATACCGCTGTACTTTGCCAAGAAAATTATATGGATTTATCCATAAAGTCACCAGAAGTTGAGTTCAACTTGAAGATGGCCTTACATACAATTCTACTATGAAATACACCAATGGAAGATAGTTAATGGTATCCTCTTCCCCCTAAGAAGGACCCCATTTATTTCAGGGGATCCTCTTGAACTAGGGTAGTTTGCCATAGATAACCTAAAAGAAAAGAATAATTGCTCAAAGATTCCCTGAATAGAAGCTTTAATTTCTGACTGTCTAAGAAACTAAATACCTACCACTAGAAGAAGAGAGAAAACAACTATCTGTTTCAACAATTCTCTGGATCTGAGTCACTAAAGCAGAACTAGTATTAATATCAAATATATAATAAAATAGAAGCAATCAAAGCTCAATTACAGAACATTAATATTCAGGGAAGAAGTTAAAACACTATTTTTCCACAGAGCCTTCCAAGAATGAAGTTTTATTATGCTGTGGTTGAATTAGCTGATGATTATCTGGGAAGTGATGATTGCATCTGATGTTACAACAGTTTATTTTGCTTTTAGTCTGTGATTTTGTATGGTTTTGAATTATTGTACAGGGTAAACAACCCAGAACTGGTTCAGTGACGTCATATCATCACTGCTACTGGCTCAGCTGAACCGGGCCAAACCGGGAGGAACCCACCACTGGTAAGTGCATGTGCATGCGCAAAGCTGCATTTGTGAAAGTGGCACATCCGTGCAAAACCATTCCTTTCCTCTGAGCTGCCTCCGCCTCCATCAGTCTGCCAAGCCAGAAAGATTGGAGACCACTGATCTAACCCAAGTTCTAAGCACTTCCTGCAAGAAGGATTCCTAACAGACCTTCTCCAGGTGACTGGACTGAATATTTTTGGGAAGTCAGTATCCCAGTACAACAGCATTTATGTCTCTGTTGATGATAACCAGCACTTTGAATAAAACTGAGAAACCTATTTTTAACCATTAGAGGGACCACAAAATTGAGGCGGCATACTAGCTGTACAAATAAATAACTGAATTACTTTGTATGGATACCCACCTTTTCAATAACTTTACTTTTGCTATCTGAACATTATTACTGCTCTGACTTACTTTTACATTTTTTAATCCAATGCTTTTATCACATCTCATTTTAAGCCACCTCATTTTTAATGTTATTTTCTATAAAAATGATCAAATAAAAAAAAAAATTCACACATTGAAATCTTGTTATGATGATATGATGGAACTTTTCTGATTAAAAAGGAAAGCTGCTTAAAATTCATTTGCTGGTTTGAGATACACAAATAATCAAAATAAAATGTGATAAAGCAACAAGAACAAAGACAAATAGTTATGTTATTTATAATAAAATGCCCTCCTGACTTTTTTTTACTTTTAAATTAAGTTTGCATTAGGATTTAGCAATGGATCTTTGTTGTTCCAAAACAGCAGAGAAAAAGAATAAAATTAAAAATACATTTTAGCCATATCTGGTACATAATACTAGGAAGTCTTAGTAGCATTACATAAAATCAATTCTAGGTATATATATGTATCTAAAGGGATTTAAACAATTTTACAGATTTATAAAAATTGATTTATGAAAACCAATTATAATAATTACAATATATATAATATTATATATTAGTGTAGAGATTCCAAAGCATATTATAAAGGACTCTTGAAAGCAAAATGCAGATTTATATTAAATTAGATAATCCCTGCCATGTATATAGCAGGGCTGGACTATATCCAAATTAATACAGTCTACAACACTTATTTAAAAATATATCCCCTTTCAACATTCCCCGAGAATGATAAAATTATTAGGTTTACAAAATTCTACCTTTTGAGAAAAACAAATCTATTTCAAAATCGCCCCACAATTGAAAAGAATATTCCTTTGGCTCACGTATCCATATTGAAAATGGCAAGCCAAATTGAAAGATACATTTATTCCTTTTCCTTCAAATGTATGCATAACAGCTCTTTGAACATGAATTGTACTATCACAATGTGGAATGTTAACATATTTCAGTTTAGAAAAAAAATCTTCTGTAGCAGATTAATGAGTGTTCTTCTCTAGTGGCACGCTAGCTTTCTGGTTTAACAAAAATGAAATAATTCATGCAGGCAAAGTTGCTATTACAGAATTACTACCTCTAACCTACAAGACGACCGTATTTTTAAGCACAATATATAGCCTTACCTGGCTACTGCCAGCAGTTGCCACAATAATTTCAGCTGCTCCTTGACATTCATTTTGCCTTTCAGATTCATGTGAACTTGCACCATGCTTGCTTGGAGCTGTTCTCTGTTAATGCAAGAATTTCTGGCATTATGCATAGAGATCAAATACACTTCATCATGCAAAATCTTCTAAAAACTGAACGAATCAATGCTGTAGTTTTTCATGCCACTAAAGCGCACTTTGCATTTTATAATCCCCAGCCTCAATAATTAGCACTCGAGACTGGCTGCCTAAGCAAAACTGCAGAATGAAAGTGAAGCATGTCCTCTGAGGATTATAGCTCTAGAAGACAAAGGATCTGCTGTGAGACACAAGACACCATCTTCCACCAGCTGTGCTCACATCACTTTCAGAAATGTAACAGAATTAGAACAAGCTGCTTTGTCACATGATCTACGCATTTACTGGAGGCTACAACTAAAGCAATAAATATAATACAAATAAATATTTGCATGAAAATATACACAGAACTTCAGTTTAAAAAGCATTTTTTTTAAATGTTTCAGTATAGGATGACCTATATTGAAACATCCATTTTAACAGCAAAGAATACATTGTCCCTAGCTTAGTTTCCAATTAGACATATAAAACTAACCCTATCTATTTTCCCTTGAAAAAAACACCAAAATTATAAATAAAGAAGTTTAAAGGTTCTTTACTTATAAAAGCAACATTATTTGTTTAAGAACTGACTGAAATATAGAACAGCGTATAGAACCATTTTACTGCTCAGAGCTATTTATGCATATTTTATGGGGACATCTCTATAATACAGGATTTTAAAAGATCTCCAGCCCCAAGCATACTAGGCAAATGATGCATGCACGAGCCTTTCGATGTGTATTCCACATTGTCTGCCTGCTTACTCTCTTGTAATCCCATTCCCTCCAATGAATGTAAAGACAACATTAATTCCCTTCTTGCTAATTGTCCCAATGCTGGGGTGAGCATTCCAAAGAGCAAGGGAGTTGGGAAAAAGGAAAAGCTGAAGTAAAATTGTAAGTCATGTGATGTCTCACTTAATGACCAAATTGCTGATCTTGATTGTGGTTGCTAAAGAAGGATCTTCTATCACAAATAATTCTCTTATGTTATGACCCTGTTTCTAAAGGATTTCAGTAATCATTCCATCTCCTTTTAACCTTATTTGCCCCTATCAGATCACTTTTATGTTTATTCTTGAATATTCCTGCAAGTTTTCCTGTAATTTCACCTATCTTCTTTTAAAGGTCTCTACTTTTCTTCCTCACCTCCCTTTTTTGTTATTGTTGCCATTATTGACATTTTCTTGTCCTATCTTGTTTCAAGTCTGCACTCAGTTATAGATTATTTAGGGAACATGGTACAGACCACAAATAAGAAGTGAATTTTATCTTCTTTTGATGCAGGGATTTATTGTAAAAAAAAAGAAGAGAGAGAGAATATACACTTACTCCAATAGTTACGCTTTATTTCCATGTCTTTTCTTTTTTATTGCTATTTGTGGGTTTTTTTCATGTACTTCTATGTCTTACATTTCTGTATCTTATATCTATGTACTACATTTCTATAGGTTTCTATAAATTTCTGTAAAGCTTCTCCCCTACTTCTCCCTCCTTTCTTTTGTAATCAGGCTTGAATTGCCAATACTTTCTTAGATTTTTGTTAACCTTCTGTCCTTGGCTGCCGTTCCTTCCATGGAATGAAACTGTTCTCTTCACCTCATCCTAACTCCTAGTCATCCCAGACTTGGGTGACCTGGTTGCTGGCTGGCATTTTCCAAACTTTTCAGCCAAGTCTCTGGCTTAAGTTGCCATTGTGATTTTTTTGCAGTGTCTTGCTGGGAGGAAGGAAGCTGCTGGGCTTGATTGTTGTTTCTAGGTCTTATTCTACTGCTAGATTCCAACTTTTGCAGTTATGTTCTTCTTCAGTGCCATCAATCAACCAAATGCTGTATCTTTTCTCTGGCCCTAAGTATCACCACAGTAGTATTTTGTTCTGTCCAATTCCAGTATTCCTGCCTTTTTCATACTTTCCCTTTCTTCCTCTCCAGTCAACACTAACCAGAATCTCCTCCCAAAACATCTGCTTCCAAATCAAAAAAAAAAGTTTCTCCTTTAGTAGCTGGAGCAGAAATGCAGTCCTGCTAATTTGGTTATATCAAAATCCCACGAAAAAGTAAAAAGGAAGGAAGGGCTCACACAGACTGTTACGGGGCCCTTCCTCCACATACTTATCCATCCATCTTTTCTTATTTTGATAGATACGGAAAGATATTTAGATTTTTTTCCTCTTTAAAATTTTGTGAATAATTTGTTCAGTTTTCATAATGTCTATTCCTACAAACACCCAGGTTCTCCTCTTAAGCTCGTTATGTTCTTATATTGGTCTTTTATTTTGACTGCATGTTCCATGCAAATATGCTCTCTTAATATTCCAACCTGTAGGGTGGTTCACTTCTCCAACGGCTCTGTAGCATACAGGGACTGCAAAAACAGGAATCACTGGATGGTAGCAAAGAAATTGTATTATCTATTGGATGCTTCCATCTAGTGACTATTGAAAGGTTTGCACTTCATATAAGGTTGTCTTACTATTGTTTAGTTGGCAGCATGTTACAGCTCCTTTCTGAGGAACTCCAAGAACTCAACATGAAGAGGACAAAAACCAACAAAGGACTGATTGCTTTAAGGTACTAATTCAAGTGTCATTGGCTTTGAGGGCTTCCACATCCTGACACCTGAGTATTGTGGACATCTGAACTTCTTATCCAGATCTGCTTTTCTCTCTTCCTTCCCACTCCTTTCCCTCCCTTCCCTTTTGTTCTTACTTTCCCCTTCTTCTTTTTCCTTTGGCTCTATCCTGGTGTATAAATTAGAATTACCACATACACAGCTTTAAGTCAAGCTGTTATCTACTCTTGAAGAGTATACACATTTGAACGTACACAGAAGTTGATACACATGAGTCAACTGAATTTTTGTGTTCAATTTATCAAAACCTGGCAGCTCTCATGTTTAGTTACAGCTATCCTGATGCTTTTAAAAACTTCTCATTGCTGTTCTGATTGGTTCTTCATAAAAGAATGTTCCTTACTGTTAAAAAATGTTGGTTTCTTCCAATACAAAAATTTAATTTTTCTCTACTAAAATCAGATATTATCTCTTGTTATATTTTGTAGATAAAAGTTTTAAGAACCCAGGATTTCCCTGATTTTAAACCAAACTGTAGTCAATAATGGATTCAGTAGTTGTATGGAATCACAACTCCCATCCTTGGTAAAATCAGATTTACTGGGCCAGAAGTAGCATATTTCCCTTTAAATTTATTTTTCTGATAAATACCTTAATACTACCATCCCAAAATGATACACCTAGACTTCTTATAGTGTTGTTATTCCTTCTCCTTTTTATTCTTTTCCTAGGTAGAATCTTCTACTAGCTACTAGAATAAAATGGGTTCTTCATTTTTAAAGCAGACAATACCTGGTTTCAAAGGAATGAAATGCCATGAAAATTTTACTGCTGTCAATTAATTTTAATCTGTGGAGCCCAAAAATATAACTTTAAAAGGAATGACTTTTACATGGAAGTACAATTCTTTGTGCAGAATTTTACAATGAAGTCTCAACTATTATAAACTTGTGTATTTCCTGTCCTTAATATATTTTAAGTATTTATTTATTAGATTCATTACTCAACAAATAACTCTCAGCAGTAGGAGATCACTAGCAGGTTCTACTAGAAAATCCATGACCCTGAGGAATAATTCAGAGCCAAGCCACGTATGGCCTTAAAAATAAAATCAACATTTTTAACTGTTATCAGTATAGGGAATGGAGCATTAGCTGGAAGCTATATATATCCACTGTACTAGTCAACAACTAAGTGTTGACATTGGTGATTTTTAAAAATATCCAGAATGAGAAATGCATATGGCAGGAGAGGTGTGACGTCCTGGCCTAATTATTATAACTGGGACTGTCTGTATGTTGTTTTAAGTCAGAGGCAACTTTTTAATATGGCTATTGATGCTTTATGTGACTGGAGGATCATGCTATTAGTTGCACTTTATATATCATATTAAAGAAGGAAATAGGACATATACACTTTAAATAAACGTCTTGTATGACTGAAACAATATAATACTGGTTGATATGCAAAACATTTCAAATCCAAAACAGATTTCAATTGTTTATCTTTTGAGCTCAACACAAATGTTTTAAAAGTCTAAAATGGGGCAGTTTTGCACTTAGAACACATTTAAGATAGACAAAACAATATCAGTTAAAACAGTTGCTTCAAATTTGAAACTGGATTATTTTGAGCTCAAGATGAGATATTTTGACATTTTTGTATACCATCATAATTTAATATTACTCAGCTTCAGTTTAGCCAAAGCTAAAAGATTGGTATAGATTACTAATTATTTTTATTGACCATGCTCAACATTCTGTTAATTCCGCTTATTTCTTTTACTCCCATTGTTGTCTGAATAAATAGCAAAAAAACAAACACTAACCTCTGGCTCAGCAACCTGGGATTGCAATAGCTGTCTTATACGTAGAATATCTTTCTCAATTTGTTGAATTCTAGCTACTCGCACCTGAAACAATATGAATTTTAAAAACTATCTTATTATTATTTCCCCTTTAAAAATTGCATATGAAACTGACAATGTAAAGCTTGACTCAGAATATTTATTTATTAAATTTGCTTGCTACCTATCTTGCTTTGAAGTGAATATATTGCTATATATACCATGTTCCCCTGAAAATAAGACCCTGTCTTATATTTTTTTTGAACCCTGAAATAAGCGCTTGGCCTTACTGCCATGCGTTCAAAAGCCCAATTGGGCTTGTTATCAGGGGATGTCTTATTTTGGGGGAATCAGGGTAGAAAGGAAGATAATTCTGTATTAAGACAAACTTCCAGAGAAGAAGGAGGACATGATGGTGGTAGAGGAGGAAAAACACCTCCATTAGGAAAACATCTTAAAAAAATTAGATCAATATTCAAATGTTCTCTTCCTACGATATAAGATCTCTTATTTCCAGCTAAAATTAATCCTACAAATGTTTTTCCCCAAAAAAGACAGAAACATGACAAGAATTAAATATCATTTTATTGAATTGTAACTGCTCATTTATAAAATTAATTGATATAACATAAATCATTCTTTACCACAAGGTCCTTCTAGCAGAAATAGGAAAATGTGTTGAAGATAAACAAGTAGTGCTTGATCTGTAATGGAGCCTGCCAATTATAGAGGCAAGTGGTGACAACTGTTAAGTGAGACATCCTTGCTTAATGACCCCTACCCTATGCTCTCCCTGATGCAACTATTAAACAAATGCAAAAATCGTTAAGTAAGCATGAAGTAAGTAACTTATGGATTCTGCCACCCTCTTTCCAGGTATGTAGTAAATTTAGCAAATTAAGTGATTAAATGGATCAGGATTGGAGGGCAGAGGTGAAGAATTCAGTTTCAGCACCTAGCTGGGGGAGGGGGGTGTAGAAAGATCAACAAGTATGTCACGTTTCTTGATGCAAACATCCATTTGCTGAAGGACTACAGGGGCATATTGTGAAATAAAGGTACACTAGATTATAGAACAGCCATCTTTATTATACTTTTTCTTGTTAGCTTACTTCTAACAATATGTACTACATATTAGAAGATTAGTCCAGATCTTAAGTTCATCTGCAGTCCTTTCATTGTCCAATGTTGTTTTACAATCCATGTGAAGCAAACTACTGATGATTCAAAAATATCCTTAAAAATGACCTGTTTCAAATTGTCTAATATGATTAAGTTGTTCATTTTTTGCTGAGCATAGGAAACTGCTTAGAATCATTTGGCAGATAATTCTAATAATATCGTCTTTTATTTTTTATTGCTGAAAGATTACTGATACTACATTGTGCTGTACTGCTATTTTATATTTGAGTCTATAATGCCTTTTCAGTACTTAAAAACAACTGACCTCAACTCTTATCACACCTTTTAGATACAGGATAATAAAATTTAGGATCCTTTTTGAGACTTAAAGTTTCCCCAAAAGAGAAGGACTCATGTTCACTCTGACTATAGATTCCATAGACTCATTTTTTGGGTCAATCCTGTCATCCGTATGAGAAAAAAAAAAAAAAGCATTTAAACTAAGAAATCCAGTGGCTCCTTGATGTCTCTTACTGTACATATAAGAGAGAACTTATGTCTCCTGGTTTATCTCTCTTTGGTAGGAAGAGTGAGAAAAGGAATTGCAGGGTACAGATAGACAAAAGTGCTGAGCGGAGAAATATTGTGAAACTTTGGAAGCAGATGCATGAAGGAAAATAAGCAATGTACAGTATTTTACTTTTCTTTGAGTGAAATTGTGCAGTCAGTTCATACTATGTCAATATTGTATTATATTATATTCAATACCATTGTTTCTGTTCTCAGTTTTTTGAACCATAATTGTTAAGCTTACTGCATAATTATTAAACATATCATTTGAAAACAAAGGCACTTTCTCAAGCAGCTTTAAATACACAAAAAACAGGTACATCTTTGAATTGTTGCTAAAATATTACTGAATTGATGTGAAGAGATTACCTGTGCTCTCTTCTCCATGTCCTGACATGTACCAAGTTGTTCTTCCATGGCAGCTCTGATCTGTCTTGCCTCATATTCCAATTGCCTTCTATTCATGTCAGTCTGCAATGAAAACTAAAAACATAGGAAATACAATAATCCCAATGAAGAATAATGCTAATGTTCCATAATAAACTGAAGAAATTGAATTATGTGAATCTAATGTTTATAAAAGTTAAAGTTAATTAATGTCATTTTCCCAATATGACACACACGGATACACAGAAAGACTGAGAATAAACATATGAAGAGTTTTTAAAAAATATTCCCAATATATTTCAAAAAATATATATATATATATTCAAAAAATCTGAAATAATGACATATTTCAACTGGTATATTTTGATTTAAATAATACATATTACATGTGTATAGCAGTTACCGCTTACATTTTCAGTAAGAGGAAGACTATCTATCCTTTTAGTCAAATTCTGAAGCTGAGCATAATACCAGTCTTTTTCTTTTTCTTCCTTTTCAAGCTCAGCAAGCAAAAGAGATCTAGAGATGAAGAAACAAGTATTTATCATTTATTATTCTACATTAGCCAATATGTAACAGGTAATACTTATACAAGTGAATCATTTTTCATTTTCATAATCATCCTTCTCATCTTAACTGAATCTTGCCTCATCTTGTACTACCTTGATTTGAGGTTCTCTTGATAGTGCTGTAGATTTATTTGGATTGATACATTATTATTTGTTACCTTAACAATATCAAATATGTAGTTAGGGAATACTAATTTAAAAATTAGAAAAGGCTACCTTAAATTTTACATTTTCATACTGTCTTTTTATCTACAATAGGGGTGTAAAACTCGATTTCATTGAGGGCCGCGCATCAGGGTTGTGTTTGACCTCGAGGGGCCGGGGTGAGCGTGGCCAGGGTGGGTGTGGCAAGCTCGACATCACTTGTTCTGGGTGGCCCTGTGGTGGCCCAAGCACTCTGTCAGCAAAAACGAGCTCCTGAACTCCGCTTCAGCTGTGGCGGCCTCCTGAAACCCTCTGCCAGCGAAAATGGAGTTCGGGAGGGCCGCACGTGGCCTTCTGAGCTCCATTTTCGCTGGCAGAGGCACTGCGGGTGGGTCCTTTGCTGTTTCCAGGGCAGCCCTGTGGGCCAGATCCAGCCCCCGGGCCCTGAGTTTGACACCCCTCATCCACAGTTTAATAATTTGTTATCTTTCAAGTGAAAGATAATAGATGTTTCACAGCTGCTCAGAATTTCAATAATACATAATATTCATACTTATTCAGCATGTGAAAAATTCAGAAAATGCCTATGTTGACTGTGGTGGTTGTCATTTCTCACCCCACCCCTGACAAAAGCCCTCTGGATTTCCTCTCTTCCAACCTCTCCTTTCCTCCAGACCCTCTGAAAGTCGCTCCAAGGGCCCTGCGGGAACCTCAGAAAATTGTGCAAGACTGCTTCCTCAATTTTCAGACACCAAAGGGTTGTCATAGATTTGCCCTCAATGGCACTGAAGCACAATTAGCTCCACATCAAATTCACAGCATCCAATTTAGATGAACCCTATTTATGAAAGAAGCTTCAGGGATACAACTAATTTAAAGTTTCAGATTGATAAAAAACACATATCTGAAATTAAAAATTACCTTTCTTTCTCTAGTTCTTCTAGATAACCAGTGCTTTCTCTACTTCCGTTCATAAAACCTCTTCTGGGAAATGATCCCATGGGAACAGGGCTGCATTCACCTGATCGACTGGAAACTGATCCTTCTCTGCTTCCATATGAACGCATGGATATCTTTGGCCTCAGCTTCACTCCAGGGAAGTTATTGCTATCCAAATTCAGTTCTGAGCAGAAACAAAGAAAACTGTTGAGTTAACAAGAAAAAAATCTTATATGATTTTTTTTTAATTATGCCATTCCCTGTTCAGGTAAGCAACGTTACTCAAAAGGAAGAAAAAGAATATAGGTAGTTCTTGACTCACAAACATAATGGAGCATGCCCATTATGGTAGGAAATTGTGAAAGCCATTAAGTCAAGAGCCCACATGATCTTGTCACTTACAACCCCTCATTCCTGCTTTCCTAATGTGGTTGTTAAACAAATGCATGGGTCATTAATCGGAGGTGCCTCAAGAACCTCAGAGGGAGGTCCTAGGAACAGCATAAGCCCTGCCCAAGATCTCCCAAGGCCTCCCCCAACCCCTGGCGCATCCTGTGCTCTGCAACTTGCTCAATGGAGTCCCCGCAGGTCTTGGGCCTGCTTTCCATCCACTGGACCCCACTCTTTTCCTCATCCAGCATCAGCCAATGAGCACTTACCTTTCAATGATCTCTGGAGCTTGGGTTAGGGAAGGAGGACAGGCCACTCCATTGCTGGGCTGCATGGCATAATCCCAGAAATGGCAACATTTTTTGAGTGCCCACAATTCAATGCAGAATGCAGCTACGGAATGCTGTGGAAAGCTATTCCATTGCTGGGCTACACAACAAGAACCTGGAAACACCTACTATTTTCCGGGTGGCCACAATTCAATGCAACTACTTGGAAAATGGCAGTCTCCACAAGGATTGTACCAAGCGACCCATCAATGGAGTTTCTTAACCCAACTCTGCAAATCTTTGAAAGATAAATAAGAAGGGGGTGGGGGCCCAAGGTCTGCAAGGACTGGGGGAGATGGGGGAGATAGGCAAGGGAGCACTGCAGTGTACATGAGGCTGGCTGTAAGGGTGAATGACTATGGGGGAGTGCCAGCATCTATAACTTTGGGACTGAGCTGTAAAGTAGTTTTTGGGGATCTGCTATAACAGTCGCTAAGCGACCAGTCATATGTTGAGGACTACCTGTAAAAAATAACAACAACAACAATAACAACAACAAAAACCCTCAAGGAACGCAGTAAGAGAAAATAAAAGGAATACTGCTAAATCTAGTTTGCCCAAGCATTTTCTTTATCTTTCTAAGCCTTCCTGTTCTTCTACCATGTCATACACTGTCTTTTTTCTTTAAACACTTCAATATTCATCTTTCTCTCAACTGTTCTGTAATTTGAACACACATTTTTTCATTCAGCACCATTCTTGCCCCTCTCTTTTTTATTCTTTTATTATTATTTCCTTCTAGGTACCCATTTGTATTGCATTCAAATATTCTTAACAAGATTTCATTCCCCACACAAAGTCATCTGTCTTCACACTACCACTATCCTTCTTTGCAATTCTTGTTATTGCATAGGCTTTGACAGATTACTAAAACAGAAATCACATAAGAACACTGTGAAGATATTATTACCACTACCTTTTTACTAGTATTTGTATCTCTTAAAATTTCTCCAACTATTTCTCTGTCTTTAGGAAATATTTTATTAAGATATATCTATTTATCTACTTGTTCCAGTTTGTCAATACAGTTTGGTGATTTTTTTCCTCCAAATAAAAAGATTTTTTCCTTATAATAAAAAGATAAAAGTAGGCAATAAATCTTCTACCTTGTTTCCCCGAAAATAGGACCTACCCCGAAAACAAGCCCTAGCCTGATTTTTTTGGGTGTGCCTAATATAAGCCCTACCCCGAAAATAAGCCCGGGGGAAGGGCATGGCCAGCACGAGAGGCAGCGAGTGTGAGGGGGGACAATGGTGTTCGGCACAGCCCGCCAGCCCTTTGCCACATCGCAAATACCGCTAAGTCTGAGCGTGGAGACAGAGGCAGGGGGAGAAGACAGGTGATCCGGACGTGCTGTGCGGCCTCCTGACTCACGGGAGGTTTGCGTGGTAGCAGGCGGAGGCAGGGGCATGGGGGAAGGCAGGTGCTCCTAACGCCCCGTGCAGGTGTTTTCTCAGGTCAGCTGTAGGCAAGTCAAGAGAGAATGGGAGGCGCGTTGGGATCACCTCTGTCTCCGCCTGGCTCTTCTGCGCACTTTTTGCTCAGAGGAAAATGAAGCTTTGTCTGCTTGCAAAGAGGACGCTTTGAAACAGAGCTAATTGCTCTTTTTCAAACCATCCCCTTTGCAAGCAGACAAAGCTTCATCTCCCTCTGAGCAAAAAGTGTTTGGGCAGCTACCACCACACCTGCACTCTCTGTCCCACTGTCTATTTGCCCGCGGCCTCAATCAGGGCCAAGATCTCGGCACGCCCTGGCTTCCACCCACCCTGCCAAGAGGGTGAAGAGCCCCTGCGAGGCTAGCAGCAGCATGGGCAGCCATTTGGTGGCCAGCACGGCACCCGCCACAGCCAAGAAGTATCCCAGCAGCACCTGGGCCAGCAGGAAGGGCAGATACAGGCCAGGGCATGTCGAGAGCTTGGCCCGTTGCAGCCACAGGCAAGCAGACAGTGGGACAGAGAGGGCAGGGCCAGTGGTAGCTGTGCTCCCACTCCCTTTGGCCCCCACGCTCACTGCCTCCTGTACTTAAAAAAAATAAGACCTCTCTGAATATAAGCCCGAGTGCTTATTTTCAAGCCCTCCCCAAAAATAAGACCGGGTCTTATTTTCGGGGAAACATGGTAATGCTTCCTAAAGACAGAATATTTTCCTACTAAATTAAAATTAGTGTAAATTAGGATTAGAATTATTCAATTCTTTTCCCTTCTACTAAACAGTATTTTATTAGGAACCTCACAAAAGATTGTAAAAAATGTTTTCAAGTTGCAAGAATGGGAATCTATTCAGTATTAAATATTACTATGTCTAAACACAAACTTTGTAAGTATGAAAGTTAAATTGCCAGTGTTTTCATATTTGGGTGATAATTTGAGAAACTTTTTTGGGAGGGGGGGAAATATATCTTTGGCTCGCAATGTTCACCCTCTCAGAAAGAATTCATGGAAAATATTTGCTTTGCTAACTGGTGTAGCCTTCTTCCATTTACCTTTAAGACGTTCCAGCAAATCAATCTGACCAGATGAAGCCATTGCTTCATCTTCAATACTTCCTTGCAATTGCTTCAATACCTCCTGGAATATAAGGAATGGTATTATTTTAAAAAATTAAGCAAGAATGAAATATAAAGGTTACTGTTTTGTAGTGTACTCACTTTCAAACACATCTTTTGAATTAGGTAAGAACATGTACAGAATTTTGTTATTTCGAATGTGGAATTAGATAATAGAAAATGCTGCACATCTTTAATTCGCAATAGATATTATTTTTTAGTACAGATTGATATTTTTTTTCAAGAAATGTATATATGATGTCTTAATACTTGTACAACATGTAGTGTGTACATTAGAATAAGCATTGTGCTTTTAGAATGAAAACAGATTAATTTGTATGCATTTCAATAAAAATATTATGAAATTCTATTAATGTGTTAAAATTAAAATTATTGTAATTACTAATTATATAATAGAAAAAGCAGACAGTAATGGGAGCATTTAGATTTAGAGTTATAGTTTGGATCTTAACTTGATGTTGTTTTAATTTATGACATGTCTCATTCAAGTCTATGTTAACATATGATAGCAGGACTTCAAGATGGCCAGCTATTCGATTCCCCTCACCAAACCTCTTTTAGTTAACATTTTGATTATGTCGTAGGATGTTGAAGACACTGAGCATAACCTTTTTTGGTGCTTTTAAAAATATTTAAAAATATGAATTCATAAAATTCTTCATTCTGTTTTGTTCACAGAAGATGCAGCTACCAATCAACAGTGTTTTCTTCATTTCTGTAGCAAGTCCACGTATCACAAACCATTCAATTCCTATGGGTACCTTAATTTCAGAAAAGGTGTTTCAAAAAAGCACAGTTGTGTTGTGATCAAAAGCTATTTCGGGACCCTTATGAAGAGGCAGCCCTACACACATCCCTAAATGATGCACGATTAGTAAGTAAAAATGAGCTGTGATAATATACTGCATATTGACATACATTTTAATCTCTTTATATATGCACTATGTTCTCTTCCTGTTATGCATATGATCAGTTTTAAAGTCCAAAGCACATATTTCAAATCTGATGTCTCATTTCTGATGCTGAACACTGGTCAATTAAGTAGGGAAACGACAGAATTGTTTCAAAAACTGAATTACATTCATGTGATGATTTTTCTATAAAGTTTGCTTGGCTATTAATATTTATCTCATGAGGATACCAGTATTATCATCTATTGAAACAGTGTTTTGCTGCTGATACTTCAAATCTGGGAAATTTGGGGTGAAATTGCTTAATAAATGCTTCAAGAAAGACAAGAGTATATCCTGTAACTCTTGCAGAACAGAAATAAAAATTCAGAAAATCACTAAAGTATGAGCAGTGATTTTTAAAAACCCTAATATTTTCTTGTTACAGAGCAAAGAGTAAAAGGAAGTGTATGGATTCAATACTACATGACTGGGGTCATCTGGGGTATGTTTGTCATACAGCTACCAAACCACCTTCTGCTTCTTTTCAACTTCAGAATAAAGGAAGGTGAGATGGAGATTATAGTGTAGTTGTAATAGATCCTTACATTGAAATCTCAGTTCTTATTTCTGTGTATTTAAAATTAGAAGGGTCCTGTTAAATGAGTACTTGAAACTCTGAGGAAGCAAGAAATGGCAGGCAAAATCAAGGAATGACAGACGTCCTCTGATAAAGAGAAGGGCAGAAAAACTGACTCTGGGTAGTTCCTGTCACTTCTGCTGGCTGAATTCCTCCTCCCCACCACCTCGCCATCCATAAAGATACAAATGTTGTGTCTGTGACAACCAAAACCAAAGTTAGGCAATCTATTGTCAACTGGAGGGACATACTTAAAAAAATTAAAGCGGGGCAAGGTCTATTTTTATTGGAGCAGTAAGATTTGACAGTTATATCATGAAATTTAGTGGGTCTGGGATTTTATGGACTGAGTTTTGCTTCTATGCTTGTGCCTAATTTAGAACCTTATAATTTGATTTATATGTGCTTCCTATCCTAATTTCAGCAACAGAAACAGAAAGAGATGTATAACTATAAAGGCACAATTGAAAATTGCATTAAGTCCTGGACACAGTGGTTGCTCACTCCCTATATACACCCAGATCATTCTATATTTTCTGGAAGAGTTGTCTGGTCTATTAAACAGCCCTTAACGAACTTTAGAATCTCAGATTTCTATGTAGATAGGGCAATAAATTGTTCTGCTGAAGGTTCATCCCTCAGTTTGAAAATGAGGGTAAGCTGTGAGGTAGTTTGAAGGTTCACTACCATCTTTATGTCAAGTGTGTCAGTATTTCTTTACACTTTTCTGTATGCAGAATATATCTCCATTATGAGCAGTTATTTGCCTTCACATCCATATATAGCAATCACTGAACTCTCTTGGAAATTATAACCCATCTCCTCCCACTTATGACTGTATGACTGTAACCTTGTTGCTGGTATCCTTAAGATTTATTGATCGACTCTTTCCTAATATGCTTTGATTGCTTATTTGTACCCTATGACTATCATTAAGTGTTGTACCTTATGATTCTTGACGAATGTATCTTTTCTTTTATGTACACTGAGAGTATATGCACCAAGACAAATTCCTTGTGTGTCCAATCACACTTGGCTAATAAAGAATCTGTTCTGTTCTGTTCTGTTCTGTTCTGTTCTGTTCTGTTCTGTTCTATTCTATTCTATTCTATTCTATTCTATTCTGCTAATGTTATAATGCAATATACATGACAGAATAGAATATTACTAGTGAGCCAAAAAGGCCAGCATATGAGTTTAATCAAAATGCTATTATATTTTTGCATTATGGTACCTTATATTTAAAAACTTACTACAGTTCAGCATCCAACAGAAAAACAAAGCAATATTTGTCTCTTGTAAGGTAGAATTTAAGTGTAACTTTACAAAGTCAGTACCTCCAACTCAGTGGCTTCTGATTACCAAGATAGAAAAAACCCTCAGTGCCCAGAAATATTTTTGCCATGGAACGTTCTTAGTGCATTGAGAAGGCAGACAGGCACAACTTCAATTAGACGCTTGCACTTTTTAAAGCCCTGTTGATAACTTCCTAACTTGAGTACCAATCCATTTAAGCATCGACTTCCCAGCACTAGCAGCAACTAAGGAGGGAAGTCCGGGGAGAATTTGGCAGGGGCATACCTACATAAAATAATTAAAGAAGTATGTTGTCATTCTCTGTTCTCAGTAGTATTTCAAATGGTTAATGCTGGAAGACAGACTATGAGATACTGTGACTTAATCAATTGTTGAGAGTTTGGAGCCTGACCAGAATATATATATTGGCCAGGGAGGTCTCCATTTAAACTATAGAGGTCTTGTTTGTAGCTCACCCAATCACATGGAATCCAGAGGAACCCTAGATAAGAGTGAAGGAGGCAGTGGCATTTGGGTACGAGGCTACTGATATTGATAGGTCAACATCATTCGCTACCATGTGGTGTTAAAGTTGCTTCAAATTATTGCATGTGTCTGGGGGTATTGTTCTATTTAACAAGCAATACATTCATTCCACTCATTTCAAAATTTTCTAATCTGTTTATGCATATTTAAGTAGGGTATAAGTACACTTTTATATATAGAATTGCATGAATAAAAAAGCACTCCATGCTAAGTAGTTGCATTTAATTTACGCTAGTGTTTGGCAAGACCATCCATAACTTACTGTTCCAGGAATATGATTTTAAAAACCAGCAGAAAAAGCAGACATGCCTCCATAAAAATTCAGGGCTCTTGGTGCTCTCTGAGCTTGGCTGTTTTCTTGCAGGCGTTTCATTAGCAAACTAGGTAGTATCATTAGTGCTAGCAGGAAGTGAGGTTTGCTTTCATTTTATATACTAGAAGTTTGCCCTGTCAGTATTGGTGGGAGTGGTCTTGGTGGTTTCTTGGACTGTTATTTACTGTTAACTTAGCTAACAATAAACAGCAGTCCAAGTAATCGCCAATACCACTCCCACCAATACTGACAGAGCAAACCACTAGTATATAAAATGAAAGCAAACCCCACTTCCTGCTTACACTAATGATATTACTTAGTTTACTAATGAAACGCCTGCAAGAAAACAGCCAAGCACAGAGAACACCAAGGACACTACAATTCAATCCTGAGTTAAAAATATTCTCTTCTGTCGGTACAACATAAAAATGCTTGGTAAGGTACTCTTGCTGATTCTTGCTGTTTACAGGTAGTCCTCAAGTTATAAATGTAATGGAGCCTGCCAATTACATTCGTAACCCAAAGATTCGTAGGAGTGAATCGTGTAACTTGACCGTGATCACTCCCTGCTTTCATCCATGCATTCGTTAATCGAATGCGCAGGTCGTTAAATGCACATGAGGTATCTCAGGATGGGAAAGGCCAAGGGGGACTAATGATTGAACAGGCTACCTGCTTCAGACTACCAAAGGCCTCTGCTGACCCACAGATACCTCATGCAATTGCTTCCTCCCCCCATTCTATCACTTACCTTTCATTCCTCTCCAGCCTCTCTGTTTCTTTGCCTGCTTCCAGCGAGCGGCGAGAGCAGAGGGAGAGCAGGATGAGCGCGCCCTGCTCAGCTTCTCTGACTCACTGAGACTGTCTGCCACTTCTGGAGTGAAAGCTTTTGGGGGCCAGAATCTCATGCAATTTCAGGCACCCATCTGCTTTTGCAGAGAATGAGTGCCTGAAGTCCTGCGAGATCAGGGCACCCAGAACTTACAGTTTGTGTTTGCATGCCAGTGGAAGCCGAATTTGCTGCCCCAAAGCCTTCAATACAGCGTTCAAACACTTTTTCATGCCGAGCCTGGAAACCTTTGGAGGAGACTCATCGAGGCTGCCTGCCACTCCAGAAGAGGCAAGCAGCCTCAATGAGTGAGAGAAGCCGAGCAAGGTGCGCTCATCCAGTTCTCCCTCTGCTCTCACTGCTCTCCGGGAGCAGGCAAAGAAACAGAGGCTGGAGAAGAGACAGCTTGCTAGATTCTTGAAAGGTAAGTGAGTCTCCACAGGCCTGCTTGTGGAGATCCGGCAGGGAGAGGGAATAGGTAGGGCGAATGTTGCAGTGCCTCTGCAGTTGTTCATAAGGGTGAACGACTGCCATGGTGCTGCAATATTCGTAACCTCGGGATTTTGTCATAAGTACATGGGTATGGGTGTGGGTGGGTTATGTCACAACTTCAAAAGGTCACTAAGTGAACTGTTGCAACTTGGTCATTACTTGTACTTACAAAATGTTATATTACAAGGAAATTTAATCTTCTACTTCTACTCTATTCCCTAGAATGCCTTCATTATTAAATGCTAAATCTAAGATTTTGAGCCTCAAGGCCTGAAAAGTTTTGGTTTTTTTTAAAGCCAATGAGGCTTTATACAGTCCTACCAAACAGGGGCTTAAAATAATGTGTGGAGTAATTTACAAAGAGGAATTCAGGAGTCCACTAAGGCTGCTTCACTCCTAGCTGAATGCTGCGACTGATATATAATGCTAAAAATATAGTCCTCAAAGGGAGATTAGATATAAATTTTAAAACATAGACGCTGCAACCCAAACAGTACCTATACACAAGTTAAAAGGTAACAGTAAAGGTTCCCCTTGCACATATGTGCTAGTCATTCCCGACTCTAGGGGGCGGTGCTCATCTCTGTTTCAAAGCCGAAGAGCCAGCGCTGTCCGAAGACGTCTCCATGGTCATGTGGCCGGCATGACTAAACACCAAAGGTGCACGGAACACTCTTACCTTCCCACCAAAGGTGGTCCCTATTTTTCTACTAGCATTTTTGATGTGCTTTTGAACTGCTAGGCAGAAGCTGGGACAAGTAACAGGAGCTCACCCCATTACACGGCACTAGGGATTCGAACCGTTGAACTGCCGAACTTTTGATCAACAAGCTCAGCATCTTAGCCACTGATCCACCGCATCCTTATACACAAGTTACTCAATTCCAAATAATTCTGGGTCTTCCCTGGAGCACACTTCAATGCCTTTCTCAGTGCAATAATGCACTGAAGATATAATCAGACAACTTTTACACACAGAAGATGCCCCTGTTGTCTCTGATGAAATTGAAATCTTAGAACATGTTTTCCTAAGGTATAGATTTTACAAGGAATTGATCTCAACCTAAAGATACAAAGCACATGAACAAGCAGCTCTCACAATTAATATGGCACAATTACCAATTATTTTAAGAAATTGTATTATATGGGTATTATCTTAAAGTTGTGGGAATATGAATACATACATACACATACACACAATTCACACTAAATACAAAAGAGGTCTGATATAACAGAGTATTTTTTAAGGGAAAATCAATTATCTAAAAGGGAAAGCTCAATATCCATTGCATTATGGGGAAAATCATGCAAGCCTTGCAATCCGAACCACAATCCCAAAATGCTTTTAAAGTAAAATTATTTTCATACCTTCATATTAGATGCTTCAGTTTCCAGTTTTGTAAGATGATTTGAATTATCTTCCAGTTCTTGTCGAAGATTTGAGTTCTCCATTTTTAACACCTCTACTTGTTTTAACAACTGATCATATGACACTGCAGCCATTCTGGGCTACCCCAGGACCTGAAGCAAATAGAGAATAAACATTTGGTTTCATTTGGTCCAAGAAACATATCATGAATTATTATTTTTTTAAAAAAAGACTACTTCCCATCTATCATTGCATTTTTCATATATCGTAAAAATGTCTTGGAACTTCAAGTAATTCTCTATTTAAGTACAAAGTACAGAGCTGAAAGATGGACAGCTATATACAGTAAATGTTTTAAATAACTAAATAAACAAACTCTTGAATGCCTTTACTTCAGACAACACAATAACATTTAAGACAATATCAAAAGGGGCGTTGGTCCTACCTGAGACACACCTTCTCGTTGGGTGGACACAGAAGCCAGGATGGGGTGTGCTCGTCTGCTAAGCTGATAGACTGAGCCTGTCAAAGTTGCTAAGTCCCGCCCTTGTTACTGGGCAGACCCAGCTTTTGGCGAAGACTAGAAGACAGGCTCAGCGTGTGGGACACCAACAAGAGAGAAAGGAAAAGGCAAGAGATAGAGACCAGACTGGCAAAGGGAGGGTCTGGCTGCTGTCTCCACCCAACGAGAAGGTGTGTCTCAGGTAGGACCAACGCCCCTTCTCCATTGTGGGTGGAGACAACAGCCAGGATGGGACATACCAAAGATTCAAGTCCCTACAAATGGGTGGGACCAGGCTGGTCCAAAACACCCTCCCCCGAAAGAACCCGCTGCAGCACCCAAAGACCAAAAGCGGCATCTGCCAAAGCAAATTTGTCCAGTTTATAGTGTTGGATGAATGGAGAAGGCGAAGTCCATGTAGCCGCCCTGCAGATTTCGAGCAATGAGGCCTGCATGGCCCAGGCCGCCGATGTCGCAGCGCTGCTGCGCAGCGCAGTCGAGGAGGTCTCGGAAGGGAACATAACTCATAGGCCTTGGCAATCGTCTGCCAGATCCAACGTCCAATGGTCGACGATGACACCTTAGTACCTAAGGAAACCGGCAGGAAGGAAACAAAAAGAGATTCCGTTCTGCGGAAGTCTGAGGTTTGCTTAATGTATATATGCAACACCCGTCGGACATCTAGTGTGTGCCACCGTCGTTCAAGCCTGTGAGCCGGACGAGGGCAAAAGTTGGGCAGGACAAGTTCCTGCATGTGGTGGAAGGTGGTATTGATCATAGGCACAAACGTAGGGTCCAGACGAAGTACCACACAGTCCACGTGGAATACACAAAGGTCAGCACGGATGGAGAGGGCGGCCATCTCCAAGATGCGGCAAGCCGAGGTAATAGCTACCAGAAAGGCAACTTTGCACGTTAGAAGCCAAAGGCTGGTTGTCCGTAGAGGCTCGTATGGAGCAGCCGTGAGAGAATTAAGAACAATGGAGAGGTCCCAAGTCGGGTACCTATGGAGAACTGGAGGACATAAATTGGTAGCGCCCCGCAGAAAACGATGAATCAAAGGATGTTGGGCCAAAGAAGACAACGATCCAAATGTAAGTATCGAGGAAATCGCCACCACCTGCCTGCGCAATGTGTTAGGAGAAAGCCCTTTGGAAAAGCCCTCCTGCAGAAAAATCAGTACATTGACGATCGAGGCTTGGAGGGGTGAAACCCCGTTCCGATCGCACCACACACAAAAGGTCCGCCAGATGGCCGAGTAAATGCGATCCGTAGACAGCCTCCGTGACGCCTGAATGGTGCAGATCACATCTGCTGGGATATTGGCCTCTCCTAGTGCGCACCACTCAATTGCCAAGCGGTCAGACGGAGCCACTGCAAGTCCGGATGCCACACAGCCCCTTGAGTCAGTGCGTCCAGCGGTTGAGGTAGCTGCCAAGGCGGAGCTATTGACAATGACACTAGGTCCGCAAACCAAGGTCTGCGTGGCCAATGCGGGGCCACAAGTATGATCTCCGCCTGCTCCAAGAACAACTTGCAAATCACTCGGGAGAGCAGCGAGACCGGAGGAAACGCATATAGGAGTCCCGGAGGCCACGGGGAGCGGAGGGCATCAATGGCCTCTGCATGAGGCGACGGGTACTGCGAGATGAAGCGCGGCAGTTGAGCATTGTCTGATGTGGCAAAGAGGTTGATCACTGGAGTCCCAAAGTGTGCAGCGACTTGGCGGAAAATGTGCGGGTGAAGACGTCATTCCGCATGATCCAGGCGCTGGCAGCTTAGCCAGTCTGCTTGTATATTGGCGACGCTGAAAATGTGTTCCACACGCAACGAGGCAAGGTGAATTTCCGACCAGACTCCCAGCCTTAACGCCTCCGACATCAGTGAGAGAGACCGCTTGCCCTCTTGGCGATTGACATGGGCCTTTGATGTGATGTTGTCCGTGAGGACCAGCACGTGGGAGTTGGAGATGAGGCAATGAAAGGCTCGAAGCGCCAGGTAGATCGCCCACAGTTCCAGCCAGTTGATGGGGCGACAGGCGTCGTTGCTGTTCCAGGTGCCCTGAGCAACTTGACCCATGCAATGAGCCCCCCAGTCCTGAAGGCTGGCGTCCGTTGTCACTACCATTCTCTATGGATCGAGAGACTGCCACCACCCTAGGGACCTGATCACCTTTCTGGGAATGGGAATGGTCACAGAAGACGTGCCTCTGCCTGCTTTCTGCAATGGCAAAAGGAACCATTGCAGCTCCCTAGAGTGCAGCTGGGCCCAGGGAACTATCGAGATGGCGGAATCATCTTGCCCAAGAGCTGAGACAAGACGAGGGGAGACACTGCTTTAGCCCGTTCAATTTTATAAATGAAACTATCCTGGTGCTCGCACGAAAGGTAGACCCTCCCTTCCACCGAATCAATTAAGAGTCCCTAGATGGAGTAAACGAGTGGTAGGGACCAGATGGCTCTTCTCCAAGTTAATAGAGAAGCCATGGGCAGCCAGAGTCTGGAGAGTAAACTGCAGGTCAGAGGAAGCTGGGTGGACGACAGAATTAGAATATTGTCTAAATAGCAGTGTAGACGAATAGATTTAGCCCTAAGGGATGCTGCTAAAGCAGCCAGTACCTTGGTAAAGGTACGAGGGGCAGAGGAAAGGCCAAAGGGCAAGGCCCGATACTGGAAATGGCGCCATAGAACCAAAGGAACCTACGATGGGAGGGGAGGATGGGGATATGGAGATAGGCCTCGGTGAGTCTATGGAAGAGAGGAGATCACCACTCCGAACAATGTTGAGGATAGATTTCAAAAACTGCATCTTAAACTTACGGTATGCAACATACCGGTTGAGACGTTTAAGGTCCAGAATAGGTCTCCACCCCCCCCCGATGACTTTGGAACAAAAAAAATAAACGGGAATAAAATCCCGTCCCTTGTTCAATCTCGGGCACAGGTTGAATAGCCCTGATTAAAAGAAAGTGCTGAACCGCCGAGTCCATAAGGGACCGTTTCTCGATATTCCTAGAAAGTGGACAGCAAACAAAGAACATTGGAGAACTGGAGAGAAATTCAATGGCCAAGCCAGATCGTAAGGTGGCCAAGACCCATTTATCCGAAGTGGTACCTTCCCAAACAGGGGCAAAGAGGGCCAATCTGCCCCCCTATGGGAGGATCTGCGATGCAGCTAATGATGGCATCTGGAGAAACGACCTCCTCCCCCTCGAAAGGGCCGTTTGGAATTAAAAGTCCTACCTCTGAACGCCCTATCCTGAGCGCCCCGCTGCCTAGGTTGGAAGTTCCCCTGTGATCTGTGAGAAGGAGAGACAAAATGAGACCCTTCATAAGAACGAGGCTGAGGACGGGACGAATATGGATGGAACCTCAATTCCCCCCTGCGGAAGACGGTAGGGAGGACCTTCTTTTTGTCCTTTCTTTCTGTAAGAAATGCGTCAAGGGGTTCACCAAAGAGTTTCGAACCAGAGAAGGGTACCGATGCCAGTTACCACTTATGCCTGGTGTCGGCCTGCCAGTGGCGAAGCCAGACCAAACGCCGGGCAGTCACGGATGAGGCCAACGTCTTGGAAGCGAAAGGAGCAGCGTTCAGAGTAGCGTCCGCCGAAAATTGCGTGGCGGCGATGATCTTATTCAGGTCTTGTCGAACTCGGACGTCCTCGGTGACCAAAGACTCTTGCAAATGGCGAAGCAAGAGGAGAGTAGTTCGGTTAAAGAAAGAAGCCGTAACCGCCGAACGTATGGCCCAGGAAGCACCCTGATGCACTCGTTGCAGTACCTGCTCTGCCCGGTGTTCCTCCGGTCGGAGACCTTCATCCGGAGAGCCTGGAACCGGGGAATGGGACAAGAGGTCTGCCACTGGAGCGTCCACAGCTGGAACCTGGAGCAAAGAGGCCAAATCCGCTGCCACGTTAAAATTCCATCGATCCGAAGACAACGGGGACAGCGCCGAACCCGGGGAGGACCATTATTGGCGGATAATGTCCAAGAAAAGGGGAGGTGTCGGAATAATGTCTACTGGTCTGGAGGGTTCCGCGAACAAGGAGTCCAGAGACCCTTTCGCTGCAGTCAAGGGGGCGGGAGGTTCGCAAGGAGAGTCCAGCTGAGCAGTAGTAATGGCCTTGTGAAGCAAAGATTTAAACAAGGCCTGTGGAAAGAGGCCGGTAAACGCCGGCTGGTCAGGCGGAAGGCCCTCATCTTCTGATAAGTCCATGTCCCAAGGATCGTCGCCAGCCCTGGAGGGGAACGGCTGTTGATGGAAGAAGCCAGGGAAGCTGAGGCCGCAATGGAAATGGAATCCTCCTGTGCGGTGTCAGCCTGATGAGTAGGGATGTCAGACTGGACTGAGGCAGGCACACTGGCGGACAGACGTTATGAAACCAAGGACTGATGTACCGCCGCCGTTATCATTTGCTGGATCTGGACCTGTGAAAGAACGACCTGTTGAGTTGGTGGACCCAACTCCGCTGGGGGGGGGGGCGCAGCTGTCTCGAGGGGATCTGCCAACGAGGCTGGAACCAAAGCAGGCACTGCCGGTAATTCCGGAGCTGTAGTCGCCTCTGAGCCCCAGAAAGCGTTAGGCTGGATTAGTATAGGACAATCATGTAGGGATACCTGGTCAGGCAGAGCCCGAGAATCAGGTGTAGCG